GTTAGATGAATAATTTCAATCAAAGCAAGATATTATGTTGGAAATTTCATTTTAAAACGATGATATATTAGTAGTCCTTTCTATCAGTATAATTTCAATAGATAATCTACATTCAATTGAATATATATTTCAACGATCTGACAGCAATAGAATCATCTTTTCTATATTGACAGCATGAATTCAAAACAACTATTATTCGTGTTATTGTTCGTATCCTTCATCGTGTTTATGACTAAAGCTGAAAATTCAAGCGATCAATATTCAAACAACGGTAAGTAGAAAGATCTTAATCATTGGTATGAGACATATCGATTCTAAGTCTTCTTTGTGTTATTTCAGATGAACTTATACCAGATGACATTATTCGTGATTTTATTTGTGATCCAGACAGTAGCGACGATGATATGAAATGCGCAATGTACTGTGAAAACAGAGGATACAGATATGGTCGCTGTAGAAAATATAATCGCGAGTATCGTTGCAGATGCCATTGATAATCAACCTGTGCCACTCTTTCAATTCAGTTGACAAGTTTAAAAAAGATGGTTAATGTTTTGCTTCGTTAAAAGAATAAAGACAATATTTTATTGAAATAAGCATCTAAACATTCGATTTGGCTGTGTGAATATGAGGGCTATTGAGGGAAAAGAATTTTTGAGTCGAAACTTGATATGCATAGTAGTGAATGTACATTTTAGTGAAAAGCTAAATGATGCAAGGCAATTTCAACGAAGTGTCCCCTTGAATATATTCAATTGTTGATGTTTAGTAATGATTCATTGCCACTGTTATTGTATGTGACTCATGGTTTTCATTTGAGGCACTATTTTTTAGTAACTAACCTGGCATTTTCCGTTCTTTTCGAAATCTATTTGTTCGCAGTTGCTGTTGGCGCGTTCATACGTGCTTCACATATGATTATTTTTCTTGGGCAATCAAAAAATGACGCAACTCACAATACAATCGTTTACCAGCATGAATCCATACTAATTTGAACGCATTTGTTTGTATATATGCACTCAAAAGGGCATCGATGAAAGTAATACGTGGTATTGCTTTTGAAATGCTTACGTACGACACTCACATCCGAATAGGCTGATTTCTCGATGGAGCAGTGGAGCTACTCTCTAGGTGCTTTTCAATCGTCGCATTCATTCATCTATTTTATAGTTTTGCTGATGCAGACATGGCCGCAAAAATGGTATCTCTTTCACCACATGATTGAGTAAGGTGGACTCACTGCTTGTTCTTCTAGCAAAACAAATGATAGCACCGATAAAATTCCACATAATTTTAACATAAACTGAATGCAACACAGCAAGCATATTCGTCAGCCTACAAAGTTTCAGTAGAAAATGGATAATAAAATCCCAAGTCAAAAGTCGGCAATCGGATTCTATCGAATGTGTTTCAATGTCATGAATTCCGTTGATTGCATCGGACATGCTTCCGATTATCGGAATTCAATCGGATATAAGTTAATACTCGTAACTTCGGCCTTATGCCGATTAGCGAATCCGATGAAACCCGATTGTCGGACCCTTTAGTACTCTGTTATTGGAATCCAGTCGGTTCCCTCCGTTTCCGGCATCTGAGAACTCGAATATTTTTTTTTCCAAGGAGCAGTCAAAAATGTGTTAACTTTTTGTAAATATTGTATGTAATTGTAATTATTTTCGTGTGGTACAAAAGAAAAAGTTTGTTAGCGCAGCCCCTTTGGGGCTACTAAAATGTGGAACTCACATATATCCCTTTGGCTTACTAGAATAATTCAAAATAGTTCATCTGAAAAATCTACTCTGATTTCCAAAACCTATGATTAGGTCATTGCTTATTTGCTTATGCCTGTAATCGAGTATTAATTATTAGCTCGTATATTTAACAATGACAGATACTAGTTTCTATGGTCTTTAAAGGTACCCTAAGCTAGTTACTATAGTCTGTAATGGTACGCTAAACTGGTTACTATGGTCTGTAATTAAAAAAGGAAGAAATAGCAGTCTAATTAGTTAAGCTCCTAATAAGCACAATTTTAAACTCATTAATGTCTGTAATGGGGAGAGGGACCCGCAAAAATCTCGCTTTTAAACCTACACTCGCTATTTTCTTCGAAAATATATGTGAGTTCTACAAAACTTTTTCTTTCTTAGTATTAGAAGCGCGAGAAAAAATACGATTTGTATATAAATAAGTCGAGCATGAGAAATTGTAAGAAAGAAACATGATTTTAGATATGAGATATTCTTAACCTGAGGATGTATGTGTATGTGTAGTAACAAATAGTCAAACACACGCGCAACCCCACACCCACATCCTTCTTAACTTTCTATTCACTGACAAACGAGTTAATGTGTATTTCAACCAAACATATTAGTTCCAACTATGATGTATATTGTCCAAATTCTGTCGGATATTGGACAATAAAATCCTCAGCAAAAATTGATATTGTCGTAATTGCTGAAGAATTTCGACGAATTCGGAAACTCGACAATTTTGTCCAATTTCCGGTGCGGTTGGGCATTTTGACGAAATTCCACTGGAAATTGGACATTGTCAAAGTTCCGATGTCGAAATTCCCGTGTCCAGATTCCACTGAACCAAAACACTCCGAGTAGTCGTGGACGAGTAGATTTTGAGACAAAGACTAGACGGGATGGGTCGACTTGACTAGAAAAAAGACTAGTCATTTAACCAGTCTTTTGCTCACTTGGAATACCGGTGAATCAATAACATTGAAAAGAATAACAGGGAGTGAATGAGATAGCATAAGAAAAGCATGCTCAATCTTTTGATTCGTTCTCAAGAAATAAGAGTGAGTTGAAATTTTCATTAAGAAAGAATGTGTTTTATATGATCATGTAACATCATGATCGTCGTTCTAGAACAGAAAATAGCAGGCGGAGAAAAAAGAATGATCGTGCTGGACATATGAATTAAATGAATTTTTGCATTGAATAACAAGCGTACTCAAATCAATCATATATTTCTATTTCAATGCAACAATGAATTCGTAATGATAGAATCGATTAATTGAAATATGATAATTGTGTTGTATAATGTTTGAACAGCTAGAAAAAGAAAAGAAAATAAGAGATGAGAAAAAAATGTAATGCATTACCAGAGCACACAAGATTGATGTTGAGTAGCTCACGGTTATACTTATTGTTATGGGACGGTATCTATCGTCCCAATAACCTCTATGCTATTTCCCTTTGTCTCTTTCTTTTTTATTCGTCTTCGAAGTATATATAAATATGAATCGATAATCTAGTATATACAGAAGAGAACAGAGAGAAGAGAAATGTGAAGCTATCGAGTCGTTACCGTGACAAGCGGAGCGACTATGTCGTTCGTTTATTGTCGTTATCGTTATCATCAATTACCGTTTCGTTTTTGTTACTTCTGTTATAAAATAAATAAACGAATATTTATAACAAAATCCTAACACTTATTCATTGATTTATTTCAAAAAATAGGAATTACTTGGGATGTTGTTTAAAACCAACATGTTTTATATCATTGTGAAGAATCATGATTTTTGTGTACTAAGATAGATAAAAAAAAAGCTGGATGAAAAATAAATAATTGTATATAAGAGATACATTGATGGAAGCATGAACATGTGACTGCGTTGCTCTTTGTAAAAGTAGATGCATAAGTAGAAAAGAAAACAAAATAAGCAAACCAAACGTTTTAAATGTTGCACATTAGTGCAATAGGATATTGATGGAGAATACGTAATATAAAATTAAAAATTATCCTTATCTGGTTATTCTTGTTTTTAAAGCGAAAATCATTTGAAGTTATAAGCAATAAATAAGATTCTTAGTACCATTTTGTGAGCCGTCATGAATACATCTAAATAAACACAAAATATCAATTAGATTAGACGGGCGTTGATCGTATATGAGTATTGTGTCGATAGATTTTGTTGAAAAGGACATCTCTAAATAAACTTTTCTGATATGCTTTCATATAGATAAATATATAAAATTAAAATAGTCTCTTCAATTTTATATCAGACTTTATTCAGTGAAGAAAAATTAACAGTAATAATTGAATAAATCTAGTTCCTTGGTATTCATCTAAGAACGTAAATGTGAGGCACTCTATTGATGTAATCAGTAAATAGTTTAACTATTTATAACAATCATAGGATTATTCTTCTTCCATTTCGCTCCCGAGGAACTCTATCTTTCATGATTTAGAAACGTTTGAAGAAGTTGAAAGATTCTTATAAGTTCTGCAAAAGAAAGTTGTTTCTGCTCCGGTGTAAAAGCTACTGATTATAGAATTGATTTGTATATTGTACACAAAACTGCATTTGTCGTAGAATAATAAACCTTTTCCGAGAGTACCGCACATTAACCTATCTCCCTTAGTAGTATTATCAAAAATAGTTCTTATATAAACGGATAATAATAAACTCTTTAGGTTAAAATAAAGGATAAACAACCCTTTAGAAATTTTTATAAGCCCTTTGAAAATGAATGTACCTCTTCGGTCAAAAACCCTCCTGTCCATGAACCCCTCAAAGGGTTTATGCCTTGAGAATAAACCCTTGACGGGTTTGTGAGCCACAAAAAATCAAGGCCAAGCGTTGATTATTCAGCGCTTTTTTTTACGGTGTAATTCTGTTCAATATCCGTCACGTATCTTTAACTTCCTGATTTTTATTCATTTTTCTTGAAGCTAATAACACATCACAGAATGTAAATATAGAGATAAATAATCAATAATTAACTTTGTTTTCAATAATATGCTTAGCTCTGTGTTGCCATGAAAGTATCAATACTATTTGAACATGTTTGTTAGTTATTTGAACGTGTTTTTCTCTCCATTTCTGATAGTAAAACCCACTGATGGTATTAATTGAGTACACGTAGATATTTTATGTAGAAAATCGCTCCCTCTTATTGACATAAATTAACCTGAAATTCGCTGCGTTATGCACAATCTTGGAGATTGATATTGACGGAAATAAAATTATAACTCAATCAATGCGCAGCGGAATGTTTTTTGAGAAAAAGAAAATAGCTTTTCAACTTCTCACAATAGTCTTATTTCGATGGACAAGCGTCACTTCTTGTTTCAATCTATATGATACGGATCGAACAAACATGCATAGTGTTTTACAATTTGATTGCTTAGACTATTATTCTTACCGTGAAACTCCTGCTTATCAAGAGTTACGAGATGTAACGATTGAACACATACCATACTGTTTTCGTCCAGCAACAAATGAAAAGAAATTAGTACTGGAAGATTCTATCAATCCACAGGCTCAATACGTAAGTTTTCAAGAATTAAGCGTGGCAAATATCAGTGTACAGCAACTTTTTACTTGGTCGGTTCCGATCAATGTGATTGAGCAATATCAATATTATCTTTATGAACCGAAATCGTCATTGAACAAGTATTTCTACAATTGTTCAGAGCCATGGTTTGGGCTCAAGTGTCAATATTCGTTCGATTTCGACAAAAGAATTTCTTTCAATCAAATAATTGATACAGTGTTTCTCAGTAAAATGGCATACGACGAGGCGTCAGATGTAATATTCCAGACATCGTGTTATGTTCTTCTGAAATGTTATCGTAATGGAGAGCCTTGGTGTCTTGATTGGCGTGAAGTTTGCAATGGAGTTGTTGATTGTTTTGATGACGGTCTCGATGAAGAATCATGTTTCGAGTTGGAAAAGAATGAGTGCAGTGAAAATGAATTTCGTTGCCGTAATGGCTTGTGCATTGATGCTAGTCTTTGGGAACAAGGAGAAGGCGATGCAGATTGTCTTGATCAGTCTGATCAATATATGGAAGTCTTCAATAGTAGCAATTGCTTTCAATATGCAACATTTCGGTGTGAAGAACATACTTGTACAAGAAGTTCTACAATGTATCCATGTGGAGATGGTCAATGTTGTGGTAGATTTAAAGTTTGCAATAATGGTCGTCATAAATTATTTATAAACGCGATCACAGCCCAAGGTAATCTAACGGAAAAATGTTGGATTGCTATGGTCTGTCTGACTGAAATTGGCATGTATGTGAATGGGACTTTGTGTGAAACATGGAAAACGAGTAATTCAACTTACGAGTTTCTCAAAGAATGCGACTATTTCTTCCAGTTCCCTACTATTCCAGTTTATTCTGATCATGTTCGTTTCTTTTACAAAAGTCCTTACTCGCGAACAAATTTGGGCCAGCATTTTCTACCCGATTATATTTGCTTTGATCAACACTTATGTGATTTCCTCGAACCTCAATTAATCCATGGAAATCTCACTTGTCTTAAGAATGTCACAGATGTATTTAATACTTCTATCTTTATGTATGATGGCCCGTATATAATTCAGTATATGGGATTCTATTTTCGTCCATGCATGAACTTCCGTGGTATCTCTGACGGAAAAGCAAATTATAGTGATCATCCATTATTATACAACTGCCCAAACTCACCGAAGTTAATGTCGAAGCATCGTATCATGGATATGGAATCAGACTGTAGAGATCGTGCCGACGAGAGATACGAGAATAGTTGTCTACTTAATCATACTCATCGAGTCAGATGTAAAGATACAAATAATTGTTGGTCTTATGCATCGGAATCCACCACTTGTTCAATGGATGACATTTCGGATGAAGACGAAGTTCCATTTGAGAGTTTCTGTGATGGCATAGAAACCCACTATTTCGAAGATAATAATGGAGATGATACTAGTGAGGAGAGCGCGTGTAGGCCTGAATGGTGTGACAATATTTATGCCCGCTGTGATGGTTATCTAGCATGTTCTGATGGTAGAGATGAAAACAATTGCACTCGAATCAAGTGTCCTTCAGAAACTTATCCTTGCATATCTTCTCTCAACTACACAGTGATTTGCTTGGATGTGCAACGTTTTAGAGATAACGAAGCTGACTGCCTTGGATTAACAGGTGAACAACCGAGATGCCATGGCTCATATGCATCGAAAAGCAGAATCATGAGTTTTAGATGCTCATATTGGGATGAATGCATTGACTACTTTCAGTTATGCGATGGTCACAATGATTGTCCTGACGGCGAGGATGAAAATTTTTGTTCAAGTCTTACCATCAATTGTGAAAAAAGATCATCCCATAATTATAGTGCAGCTGAAGAGATTCTTTGTGGATTGAATGAAGGTGAAAATCGCGAATCTCCATTTTTTTCCGTTCACTCTTCAAACAATTATCCTCGACTAACAGACAGTGTTGCCAGTCATACTATTCAATCTCCAGTAGGCCTACATACTATTGAAAATATCAATGAAATTAAAGTTGAAAACAGTTCACAATCATGGTATTGCAACCGTGGACTCATTGTTCGTACTTGGAATGAAAACAATAGCAATGGTAAGGTGTGCATTTGTCCACCTAGTTACTATGGTAATTTATGTCAATATCAAAATCAACGAATAAGTATGACATTACGATTGACAGCCGACGATAGACTGGCTACGTATGCTATTGTTAGCATGTTGATCGATGATGATGATGAACGTCAAGAAATACATGCATACGAGGAATCTGTATACATTCCAAAGGAAAGCTGTAGTGCTAAAATGAATCAATATTTATTATTTCCGACACGTCCCAAAAATGTTTCGAAGAAATATGGTGTACGTACTGATATATTCGAGAAAAATAAACTGAGTTATGCTGGAAGCTGGTACTTTCCTATTGATTTTCTTTTTTTGCCTGTGAATCGACTTGCCGTTTCCATACAGATATCACGTCATCTAAGTCACACTTCGTCGAATTGTGCAAGTGATTGTCAGCATGGTTCATGTATAAAATATTCAAACAGAGACAAGCATTTTTGTCGATGCTTTCCTGGATGGTCAGGAGTTCACTGCAATATTTCGATGAACTGTGAGTTATGTTTTTCTGGTTCAATCTGTATAGGATCATCAAAAAATCGATCTATATGTATATGTCCTGTATACAAGTTCGGTCCACGATGTATAATTGATTCATTGTGTCCCATCGATGCTTGTCAAAATAATGGCCGTTGTGTACCTTCTCATATGAGCGCATCTGCAAAGGATTATATTTGTATTTGTTCAGATCAGTTCTATGGATCCAAATGTCAATTTTCCAAATCTAAAGTCGACGTTTCTCTAACTGATATCAAGATTCCATCCTATCTCATAGCTTATTTCCTCACACTCTCTAATCAGTCCAATCCAAGCAATGCAATTGTGATTCGAAAACTAACCCTCTTTCAACAAACTGTCACTTTCAATATCACAGAACCATTTCATATGATGATAGCACAAGCCAATTACAAATATTATCTTGCCATATTGCAACATTCGCCAAAGACATTTATCTCAACGTCGATTAGTCCTGCACAAGAATGCATTCTTAGCGATCTACTATTCAATTCGACAATATTAAAAATGCCTCAATATACGAGATTCGGAGCTTACTATGAGCTGTGTGGAAAACGTCATGATTTGAGTTGTTTCGTTGATGAAAGCTTCTTTTGTTTATGCACTAATGATCATCATGCTAATTGTTTGAAATTAATTCGCTATAGCAATTTTCAGTGTTCATCGAAAACCTATTGTGAAAATGAAGCACAATGTTTACAAGATCATCAAGTTTGTCCATCGACAAGGATTTGTGTGTGTCCAAAGTGTTTCTTTGGTAATCGATGTCAATTCTATGCAAAAGGTCTTGGTTCAACATTAGATGAAATCTTAGGTTATGAATTTAAAAATAAGATACCAATATCTAGACAACCTATGACAGTACAAGTAAGTGCTATAGTTACAATGATAATATTTATAATAGGCACAATCAATGGTATCTTATCGATAATGACTTTTTCAAGAAAAAACACACAAAAAGTCGGCTGTGGATTGTATCTTTTCGCATCATCAATAACATCATTATCAACAATGATTTTATTTACGCTTAAATTTTGGTTTCTTTTCCTCTCTCATCAAGACGTTCTCAGTGAACGTAATCAAAAGTTAATTATCAATGTTAACTGCATGCTCATTGAAACTCTTCTTAAAATGGTTTCACACTTAGATAACTGGTTTAATGCTTGTGTAGCAATAGAAAGAACATTATCGGTATATCAAAGAGCTAATTTTGCCAGAAGTGAAATGAAACGAGTTGCTAAACGTGTAATTATCGTTTTGCCTATTTTCATGGGATGTCTTTTCATTCCACAACTACTCAATCTTCATGTATTTGAAGATAAAACTGAAGAAAGAAGTTGGTGTGTCGTGATTTATTCACCACGGCTACAAATGTATACTTACACTTTGCTTTTTTTCCATTATTTTGCTCCATTATTCATCAATGTAATGTCGGCTACATTCATTATCATAGCAACTACTCGTCAACGAGCTCTGAGTAAAATTGATCGGAGCTTTTGGAAGCATTTTAAAATCAAATTTAAACAATATAAACATCTTGTGATCAGCCCTACTATTATTGTAGTTTTAACATCACCTTATTTAATCATTTCAATTGTATTAGATTGTAACAAATCATCTAACCTACTTTGGTTCTATCTTGTCGGTTATTTTCTTTCGTTTATACCAGCTGCCTCTATTTTCATAACTTTCGTTCTACCATCCACTCTTTATAGACAAGAATTTTGGAATATAATAATATCTGTTCGAAAACGCTTTTATCCATCAAGATTAAATCGTCAAAAATTCTGACATTCTGAATAGTATGAACTATCGAAATGTACCGGTATGTTAATTAAATTGATCCTTGATAAATAGAAAATACAATTTTTTTCAAAAAAACTCATCATAACTTGCCAATTATGCTTCTGTTTGGGTTAATTCTTTTCTTTTTTTTGTTTTATTGTGTCTTAAGGTTATGATTGTGGCGGTCAATAGAAGAAGCTGCATCCTTATTCATCCACACTTACATCCAAATAGTTTTCTATTGATGACATAAAATCTACTGTGTTGTGTTAGTCAACATTGTTTATTTTGTTATATTCAAAAATTATACGAAATTAAATGTATAATAAATGACCATCGAAAACAAATAATAATTTTAAAAAAAACATTCAGAGATCATTTCTTTTTCCGCTAATTAAAAAGCAACTGAGCAGTAGACGAAAAATTGTTATTTTTTCATTCTAGAAGCTGATGAAATTTTCTAAATGTTTACCATATTTTGCAAGTAGAAACATAATGGTAACGCCAAGAATAACTCCACTGTTTTGAAATAATAAAATTTTAACTTTTAAAAGAATAGTTACTGATTGTTTTGAATCGATATAATCTTTTTCTATTTCATCACCCATTGAAACAAGCTCCGGTATCTATAAGAAAGAAAAAATCTTCTCATTCAAAAAGAAACACAATATCGAAGTCGTCTAACCATATCTGCTAGTCCAATATAGACAAACATTCCACCAGCTAAAGCATATATCCATGGATGAAATTCTTCTAATTCTCCTAAAATTATTTATTAGAAAAGCAAAATTTCATTGTCAACAAACCTAATTTTGCACCAACAAAGAATCCAAGATAGCAGCTGCAAGCTGCTAGAAAATTAACTAAAATTGCTTGTCCAATTGTTAATCCACTACTTAGTAGAACAGCAAGATCGCCAAGTTCATGTGGAAATTCTTCACAAGCTATTGGTAAAGACATTCGAAGACCTTCACCAATCGATACCATAAAAGCAGCTCCTAATGTAAGACCATCAATAAAATTATGTAACATATCACCAATGAAAATCATCCAGCCAGCTGCTTTCATTGCTTTTAAATTCTCTATTAAATTATCGACATGTTTATTTAGAGAGACGACCTAAAACAAAACGAAGTTTTACTTTATGATAAATCAATAGTATTTAAGACGATTTTAAAAATAAACAAGAAAAGAACTTCCTATTCCTATATATTCAAAACTAAAATGATACCTAGCTCATATTTTCGTACGTCAATCAATATTAAAACTCAACCCAACTAGAAGCCTCTTCGCATCATACTAAAATATTTTTCGAAGTCTCTTCAATGGAATGCACGAAAAAGAATTTTTGTCTATACACGTCATCAATTGGAATCGAGATGCATCCTGTTCTGAGTTGTTTACGACATACTTTAGAACTTTTATCAGTCGATTTTTGAGAACTCGAAGGAATAGATTCAGTTGGATCATTTGATTGTAACTAGAACACAAATTAAAATGAAAAAGAATATTGTTTCAACTAAGTTAATGATTTAGAATATTTACTGATAGGTCATCATCTCCATGACCATGTGTACATATTATCTAAATATATGGAAATAAAACTCGAGAATACAATAGATTCAATGAAAACATATACAGACTGTCTCAACATTTAAGAAAATTCTCGATAATTGATCACGTATGTAGAATGTATAAATAGCAATCATTGTAAAAAGAGCTTTGTTCAGATAACTATGATAAGTATCAAGTTTTGGAATGTTAAATGCCTTAATAAGAAAATAAAAATTATTTTTGTCTTATTGAAAATATGCATGTCAATGAGCACAACCATCGGAATTAAATGAAATATTCCTGATCCTGTTAACGTGCCAACAGCTAGAAAGAAAAAAGTCTCAAACTCATATGTAAATAATTAGATATTTCTTTGTACCTAAACCAATAAAAGTACTAAGAATCCATTTGAAAGCCGGCTTTTTTCGGAATGGCAAAATAATCGCACCAGTCAACGCTGAACAATTGATGAAAGTAACAGCAATAAAGCCGATTAGAATATCTAAAATTTTAAATTAAATAATCATAGTAAAACAAAGCAATTCGCTGCGTACTTTTCCATGTTGCCTGTCCGTGTGCTTCTTGACAGTCGGAATTAAGTTTGGCATAAACTAACGCAGGCGATAATCGTCGAATATCCGTGAGAGTTAAATTATCATTTATACTATCTGATTGTATATTGAAGGCATTGAACAAATCATTGAGTGAGGGTAAACACTGGAAATGATACGTACGCAGATATTATTATGTAGCTTTCAGGTGGATTAGTTAGAGTCGAAGCTTTGAAAAGCAGCAAATCACATTTTTTTTATGAGAAATACCGGTTAGTCTTTTATTTCCGTTTTCTCTTCTCTAATCGTACAAATCAAATATTTTTACTGTGTTGGCAAGAATATTCGAAGCGGTACCGCCTTTTTTTCTTCCACTTCTAGGTGCTAAGGTCTCCTTGTGTTTTTCGTTGTGTTGTCCGTTGGATTTACTAAAGTCGTAGTCAAGAAAACGTTTCTATCTCTTACGAAATGTAAAATAGGAATCACATGAAGCCCATCATTCAAAGTAAAGCAAAAATAAATTTACTAAGCTGAAATACAATCGACTGGCTAAATATTAAAAATAAAACAAATTAAATTGTTTTATCGAACAAAGATTTTCTATGGAATCTTTCGAGTTAATTTCATCAAATGAAAAAGAAACACTTGAATATTTACTTTATGTTTTATATTTAAATCTCGAATATTATTGTCATGCTGAATATTTTGTACAACTTTCAAATCGTCTATACTATTTGATTCAATGAATCTTCGATAAAATAAATCCAAATCAGTTTTGGTTTTAATATGTGCATGGAGAAGATTTTCTTCAAAATTCGTCAATAGATTATTATATGTTAATACTGTATATGATCCTAATAGAATCAAAGTAATGACTAGATAATAGATCATTATCTAAAAAAAGACGGAAGTGTTTTTGCTAAATTAAGAATAAAAATAATGAAATTTCAAAAGAAAAGATAAACTAATGGCATTTATTTTCTAACTGATAATCGAACTGAAATATTTTTATCACAAAAGTCAATGAAAATAATATTTGAAATTATTCATTTTTCTTTCCGTTTACACTTTACTGATGATGGCAAAATGCTCGAGACGAATCTCGATTACAGACATAATCATAAATGCGTATACGATGATAATAACGCCAAACTGATGCTAAGACTAAGGCAATTATAACACCGATAATAAGAAAAAGATTTTGACATATGAGAATAAGTGTTTTTATTAAACGCCGTTGTTTTGATGTTTGATTTGTTTGTTTGAGAATTATTTGTAAATGGTGACCAAAATCATTCAGCTCCGGAATCTTAAATAATAAGAAAAAAATAAAAAATATTTTAAGCCAGCCACGTTACAGCACGCAAAAAACATTCAGAATTGTTGAAATTTATGGGTAAAGTTTTTGTTGTTTTGATTCTATGACAACAGACAAAATTTTATTTCTTAAAATGGGCGTTCTATTCTATTGCAAAGTGTGCCTATAGGGGTTAACATTGGAATTAGTTGGATTTTTTGCTACTAATTAAAACGCTCAGAATCAGATTCTGTAAAAGAAAAATCAACCTATTCCTCAGTCATAATTACATCATTAGAATTGTTCTACGACTCCTCTACCGTAAGTCCTATGCTATTATGAACCACAGTTCAACATAAGATGAAAATCAGTGTCTGGCAGCCTTTATATTGTGTTCTTTCACAGTTTGGTATCTACTGCTGATAAGAAAATCTCATAGATGTTAGAAGTTCTACATCAGCTTTCAACACTATATTTATTAGTTCTTATCTTTATCTGAAATACATCCTTTAAATAGTAGAAACAAATCTATACTTCCAAAAAACGGTTATTCATTATTGTTTTGATCATGTAACATGATACTGGGATACTATCATCATTTATGTATATAGTGTATCAAGATAACTTAGTTCTGTTTTCTATTTACTAGTTTGCTTTAATAAAATTATTTTTTCCAATGAAATAAAAAATTTATTGCATCTTATAATATAGCTGTCTTGATTAAATAATTCAATTTCGAGCGTTTTCTATGACATTGTATGCTCACATTTGAGTTATAATAAAAGAAATTTTTAGGCACCCCATGAGGGCAATTACAGTCAGTCAAACAACCAAGAAAAAGTATTTTATATGGTCATAAATAGCTGAAAATTGACATTTGGTCGATGTAATATTACGACCATGTTTGATTAAAGTCCGTGCATACGTGATAAGGGTTGTTCAACAATCTAAAAAGTGAGTACTTGACCGTTTATAATTACAATAATTTATTTAATAAACGATAACAAAACAAGCGGAAACAATTCTACATAGTTGACCCGAACCGTGCTGAGCCTCGATCAAAATATTTCGACAATATATATATATATATATATGTATATTATATAAAACTATCAATATATTCCCTATTAATAATAATAGTAACACAAAGCCTAATGTTGCCGTTCGAAAAAAAAACATCTGTCTAAGATGGAATATATCAAAGAGTATTCTCGTGAATTTATTCTTTATTTCGACGCAAAAAAAAACGATTGACTAATGAAATGCATAAATAAACAGAGAAACATAAAACAGACCGAGAGGTTTTCCCATCTGACGTATCAAACCAGATGACAGAGAAAAATGATGGTTTAGAACGAAACATTGTCCCACTCCACTAAGAATAAAACACTGTTCATTAAAGCGAAAATGACGAATATCCATTTTTTTCTAGCATGTCTTATAATTTTGAAGATTTATTTATCGCTTAAGGCATTTAATATTTCATTTGATGCGTCACATTTCTCACTGCTCATATAATACATAGAAAAAGGGTCTATGCTAATCAAAACTAAGAAGAAAATCAATTGACTTTCGGATAGATTCTCTTCTTATTAAATCTACATATGACAGTGATTTTTGGGCTCTTTTAACTAAACAAATATATCATGCACGTAATAAAAAGTTCAAATATTCCTATGAAAATATCTTACCAAGGTTACAAGAGCTGTGTAAAAGAGTGCACCATATACAATTGAATAAATATATTCCGTACGAATATAACGTAGATTATTATCAAATCGTTGATTAAATTCCACAAGAATGCCACCAATTAAATAGCCGAGTAGAAGAAAAAATATTGAAATAAGAAGAAAAAAAAGACCACGTTTTCGGCCCATTGATGAAATAGCCTCTAAATAAGTTTTAATGTGCGTAATGAAATAATTCAATTTATTTTTGTGTCTTACGTGAATGACGTCGAAATCCTTCGCTGAAAACCATAAGAGACAAGACCAATCCAATGAGACGATCATGTGCTAAGGCTGTTGATAAAACACATCCGTAGATGACATCATTGGAAAAATCGTTGATTATGTGATATACTATGAGATTGCGTGTTTGATGAGGGAGTTCATTTTCGGAATGATGATGATGATGATGAGATGCCGACTTATTATTATTATTATTATTATTAAGAGGAGTTTGATTTGATTGTGAATTGATTTCATCATCATCACTGTCAGGATTTAGCTAAGAGGAAAATAAATACATTTGCTGCCAGTGAAATCCTACGATTTGAACAATCCGTTCTAATCACGGTGAAATATAATATAATTTTTCATGAGTCAACGAGAACAGCGCACACTCTGACATGTGAGTTATTTAATACCATGAAATTCCTTTTGACTTTTTCTAAAAATTAGTCGGGAAAGTAAGCGTCAATAGAAGAAATAATAAAGAGGAAACAGTAGAAGAAAATTCCGCTATAATCTCAAAATGTTTTTTTTTACGTTATTAAATTATAGAGAAAACTTTCACCTGTATCTATCTGAAATCTGAAAAGCAAGTCAATTTTAGTTAACTTCGAGTACTTTAAACAAAACATGTCATTAGTATAATGAGCTTCTGCAACTCTAAATAGAAAGAAGCTTCTATTCAATATCTCATCCACTTATTACATCTACAAAGCATTCACGTGAGAGTTTCAAGATTGAACTTTGGAATCGACATTGACACATGTATATTGTGAGGTTCTTACAGATTTCCGAATCATCTAACCTCTAGAGCATAATGGATTTGAATATTACTAATGCACGGAAACACTTTTAATTCTATTTTATCTGACTAACTGTGTATCAAATTGATTACTGAGTCTTTCTTCGGAAGTATTTAGAAAAACAAAGAAAGTGAAATCCAATACTGTGTATGAATCTTAAAAATGTTTCAAACATTTCTAAATTCATTATAGAAAAAAAAAACTTAGTTCACTCATTATCAAAATTCTATGACGAGCATGATAATCTTCGAGACGATTAACTGGCACTTCTATCCTCTATTTACAAAAGAAAACTACATCAAGCATTCTATCTTAGTCGAATTGCTCATGAGAAAATATTTAGTTCAATCAGTCATATGAAAAAATGAGGTGAAAGCCTCGTCATATAATCATTCCTATTTTAACTTACTGGTATTCTTGCCGGTGCACTCGAATGTCTACGAGGCTGACCATTCTAAACAAATTGATTATTCTTATTCAACGCAAAAACAAAAACAACAACGCAGAAACATACTTCTTCAGTAGCATGTAATGTTCCATGCATTCTAGCCATTTGAATCATTGATGCATCCGATAATTTTCGTAATTCACTTGCATCATCAGCTGTTTCATTCGAGTTTATCTAACAGACTTCAAATGTAAAGAAAATAAAAAATCAATTTCAAAATATTTACTTCGTCGATTTTAAATCGAAATCGAAGTAGTTTTTCGACAATAAAAAACAGATAAACACCAAAAAATACCACAGTCGCTCGAAGAAGATAAGTATAGTCAAAATCTTCATTTGGTATTTCATAAATCTTAAGTTTGACAAAACAAAACAAAAAGAATTATTTTCAATCTGAATCAATATTCGTTTTTTTTCTATACATGCGGAATTAAATGATAAATAATTGTTCCAAGCATAATACCACATGTAAATGCATTAAAACCAAGACCTAACCAGAGACGATATTTTAATGATGGATGACGAACATTAGTTGCTGCATCTCCTGTATCGTGTGCATCATATATGCTCTTTGATACTCCCACGGATGTTAACGATAAACAATGATCACCAGCAATAAAAAATATGAATATATGAATTAACTTGATGCTTATAACAAGTATTAAACCCAATATCCATACTAAAATTATTTAAAATACTAAAAAAATTGTTTTCCTATGTATAAGTAAACAAATTGTGTGTATCTAATTTTTAAAAATAGGCTTAGCAAGAAATCTTGCATTGCAAATTTCACCATAAACGACACTCATTTTTCATGCAACCGCAATTCTAATAGGTTCCTTTGTTCTGTGAAAATATGTCAATTCCTTTTTCTGTTTCACGACACAAAATTAATGAGAAAAAAAGCAATTTACAAGCTACTTTCTTCTAATCAATTTTATGCTGCACAACAAGAAAAAGCATTTATACAGTTGCACAGAACAAAAAGCATACATATGTTTTAAGAAATTCACGATTTAAAAATAAATCTAGTGTTAAAAAATTCAATAAGTTCTCTCCACGCAAACAAAATAAAATAAAACTTTAAATTGTGAGAATTTTACCATCAAAAAATGAATTTGATTTTGATTGAAGAGATTTTCTTTCACATCCTGGATTTTCAATGCTGTATAGAATAGCTGGCAGAAGAGATTGAACATCATGAATAGATAATTTAGCATTGCTTTTGTTAAAACCATGAGCATACAGTAAATCAGCTCCTGACTCATAACACTAAAATTTCACATGAGATTTCTACGGAAAAAAAAACAACTAAGACATCCTACTGAATTTCTTAAATAGTCTTCGTCATAATCGTTTGTTCGAATTTTTGTTACATTGATTGGTGAATAAACCGTATCAACAGATCGATGGTTTTTAACATCTTGTAAAATATTCCGATATAATTGATTTACTGTCGAATAATTATGAACATTGTCATGAACAAAATTAAGAAATATTGAATTATTTAATAAACATGATACAATATTAGAAGAATAGATTAAGGAAAATATGATTTTATACCAAATACTTGTCATCTAAAACGAAAAATCTCGCATAAAAAAGTAGCTGTTTTTATTCTATTGCGCATTCACTCAAAACACTGAAAATCAGTGTTTTTAGTGATTAGTGTACCTCAGCAGAGCAAAGTGTACGTACAATCTGTGTTTTTTGAGAATATACTTTGTTTTCCTATGAAGTACACTCTAAAAATAAAATGTTTGGCTTAGTTGGGTGTACGCGTACACTGCCTCGAAATTCTATTAAAAATACTGCTTAAAATACTATTTCAAAGTCGAACTTTATCTTGAATATCGCATGCGCAAAAGAAACAACATTTTTTCACTGTACAAATAGTTATGTACCGATTTGTTTGTATGTACTTTTCAAAAATGTATAAATGATAAGATGAGAACAAAAAGATAACTGACTTTATTTATTTTTTTCATTGGTATAAATTTTTAACCAATGAACGCACAATACGACGCATAGATGATGATGATGCGGCGTAACAATTTATTATTATTTTCTTTTACGAGTACGTTTCGAGTTTCAAAATCATGAGCGACGATCAAAGTTTTTTTCTATCAACTTCGAAACCAATTGAGATAATCGAAGGTAATATAACATCAGCGTCAAATCAAAATGAATTATCAACACTCGACGAGCCGATAATAGAAACTGTGAAACGTTCGTATTTTTCCATGCAAGGATAAATGGGAAAATGAACTTTTATTTCATTTCAAAGGTGACCTAAAAGCTGTTTTGCGAAAATTTGGTCATGCACTTATTCCACGACAATCGTCGACACTTTTACAACAGTGGGACTTATGGGGGCCATTGATCTTAGTAACAGTATTAGCCATTCTTCTTCAAAGTGATACTACAACAGCAAGTAGCGGCATGCAATTTGCTGAAATTTTTACACTGGTGCTCATCGGATCAGTTATGATATCGGTATATATTGATCATTATTTTATTATTATTATTATTATTATTAGATTCTGTTGACCAGTTGATTGATAACGTATTGAAATTCTATGAGTAAACAGAAATAATCTTCAAATAAAAACCAATGCATTTTGCTAATCTCATATGCAGTGACACAACCAGGTTTTTGTATCTTATTTAATGAGATTTTTTTGGTTGTGGTAGACGCACAAGTAGTCGGTACAAAAAAAAAGTGTATACTAATTGAGCTACAAAAATGTTAGTTCACAGATAAGTAGGCATTCAAATAATCTTTCTCTGTTATTAATAAAAAAATTAATATCAGCAATTTTTTTCTAGGGGTGGGGAGCAATTCTCAGAATCCTACCTTTGAATTCGTCACTGCTCATATGAAATAACTATTAATTGAGAGAGAATTGCATTTGACAGTCTAATGAATAACCGACTTTTATAATCTAAACCATATTTTAGATCAATTCACAACTACTTGGCGGCAAAATTTCCTTCTTTCAATCAGTTTGTGTGCTTGGCTATTGCCTATTACCATTATTGATAGCTGCATTTTCGAATAATCTTCTTCTATATCTTCCATACAGATCCATGTTACATATAATAAGATTTTTAATAGTAATGACTGCATTTGCCTGGACAATGTATGCAAGTATTCGTTTTCTTGGTCAAACTCAGCAACCAAGTCGTCGTATGCTTGCACTCTATCCAATATTTCTATTTTATTTTCTTGTTTCTTGGCTTATTATACTTCGTAAACCTTTCAAATAAATGAATCTTTTACAAATAATATCGATTTCCTTAGAAAATATCATCTCAACAGGGTCTTTAAAGTATACATGTTAGAAATGTGCATCCCTACAGGCCATGAAAAACGTTATTATACTATCAAAGATGGTTATATCCTATATTTTAATATAGGACCTACTTCATTATTGGAGTGAGTTCTGGAAGATTGAGTCAAAGAAATATTGTTAGCAGCTTGTTTTAATTTTTGTGTGTTTCTAGAAAAAATGTTACAAGCTAATTTCATAACTGATTGTCCACCTGATAGTATAGAATGGTGTCCTATACGTCAAGATGTATTTGCTTGTGGTACCTATCTATATAATCCAGAAACTAGTACAAGACAAGGTTCTATATATTTATTTCAATATAATTCATCGACAAAAGCAATCGATACAATTCAACATCAATTAACCGATGGAATACTTGATTTGAAATGGATAAAATGTTCATCAGATCTAACTCTTCTTTCGACTGTCTCTGCACTCGGGCAATTATCGTTATATTCATTGAATGATTTTAGCAAACCAGTCCTATGCGAAAACGTAACCAATGATCAAACCATAGCGTTGTCACATTCATGGTTATATTCAACGAATAACTACGTTATCATCAGTGATCAACAAGGTTATTTAACATTATGTGAGTTAGACAATTCGAATGGTCTACGTTTTACTCAATCATGGTTAGCACATGAATATGAATGTTGGACAAGTGCATGGGATAAACACGATACGAATATAATATATTCCGGTGCTGATGATACACTATTGAAAATTTGGGATATTAGAGATTATAAACAGCCCGTACATGTCAATCGAAAACATACAATGGGCATATGTTCAATATTATCGAATGATTTTAATCAATTTGAATTTTTAACAGGCTCATTTGATGAATATTTAAGACAATGGGATAAACGTCAAATGAATCAACCATTAAAAGAAATAAAATTAGGTGGTGGTGTATGGAAAATTAAGCCACATCCTTCGAATCAAAATATACTTCTATGTGCTTGTATGCAAAATGGTTTTGTTATTGTCGATTTAAAATCGTCCGCAATTTTATGCAATTATAAAGAACATGGATCCTTAGCTTATGGGTGCGATTGGCAATACAATGATTCAATAAATCAATTAACTGAATTAATGGATGATTGTATGAATCAACAAGCTACTACAACATATGATAAAAAGATTTTATCAGAAAGTTTAATTGCTTCTTGTAGTTTTTATGATAAAACTGTTCATGTTTGGAAACAACAAACATAAAAGAAAAGAAAACTGACAATGATGAGTCTCTCTTTGTCTGGATGAAATTGAAAAAATGCCTATCGTATCTAACTGTTACAAGAACAGCCTTTCTATATTCGATTTCGCTTATGGCAGAAAAGTACACGGGAGAATAACAATAGAAGTTATAATGTCTTTTTCCTTCATGATAATATTTAATGGACAAAAAAAACTAATATCTATGATATTGGAATAATAGAACAAATAGATACTGAGAAAAATAATGTTTATACAATGCGTATGTTTTTGACACACGTATTGCCAAATCATCATCGATATTTTTCAAGCAGCATATGACTTCTGAAGAGACGGTACCGTTAGTAAATGTACTTTGAACTCCTTACGTAATGATATTCACAATACATTAATTAACTTTATTCGTAATTGTTTATCGAGTTGTAATTGGCCTCTAAATAGGCACGCGAGTGATTAATGAAAGTAGTAAAGAGTTACAAAAAGATAGATTCCCGCTTCGTCGAAAAATAAATAGGAATGAAAAAGAATATAAACAGAGTGATGAGCTCAATTTCTTTGATTGATCTAAACTATTTACTTAAACATAAACTAATTGATATTCCTATACTAGTAATCTGTAATTTTGAAAAAATATATATACGTGGAGTAAAAAGAGAAAATTCATTTATTTTGCTATATTCATTCATTATCACACAAAATGATGCTGTCTATTGTTGAAAGTAAACGTAATAAGCCAACTTTAATACTTGATACTTTTCGCTACACACAAGATAAAATTTTAATTTTTTTTCTTTTCTCTATTCATATTTTCTCTTAATAATTTCTTATTTATGTATCTAAATCTGCTCTATAATAATTTTTTTGTTGACAAATTTACTTGCAAGTAATTGGGCACTATTTATGATTAGTATGACGAAAAAAATTCATCAAGTGATTAATTAGAATTTATTTTTCGACGAAACGGGACCTAACCTTACAAGAAGTCAAATAGGATTTGTGCAATTTAAAAAACATCATAGTGCTCTGGCGACTTTATCTACCTTTTGAGTCGTACAGAATTGACTTTATTGTATGTAATTGAAAAGTTGTCGTTTCAACAGAAATGATAAATAGTCTTGTATTTATGCTTTTATGACTTTGAGATGTATTCTAGAATACACTGTTCATGTTATTATAAATATCATCGATTTTTCGTAGAATTCTATCAAACGGAAGTATGTTAGCATTTTCAAAACTGTTGATAGAACGTGTCTGATTCATTTAAACATCTGTTTTCAGTTTATTTGAATCTTATTTCGTACAGATTTTCTATAAACAATTCGAGATTTCTGTCATTAATTCTAGTGACAGTTCCTGTCTATTTTTCATATATTTTCAAAACAAAAAAAAAATATATATATATATATCACGGGTGAAAGAAGCAAAGATATTCTCTACATGAAAAAAATATATAGAGCAAAAACAGACGCCTTTTCCGTTTGAGCTAATATGCGTTCTAAAATTCCATAAACTCCTTGGGATACCGATCAACCGTGCCGACTTGTAACGGCTGTTCGTCATATATGTCGTAGTTGTCTTTATCAGTTTTTGGTATAAATGGTGCTTCAACACTTTTTTCATAAACAGCGATGAAGTCAACATCTTTATACCATCGATGTTCTTTAATATCTTTAACACCAGATTTCAAATTGCCATAGCGACGTGTTAAATCAACTTGTAGTAAGTTTTTAAGTAAATCTTTCAGGTCAACTGTGAATTGAGCTGGAAAACGCACGCGACCGGACACAATTTTTTCATAGATTTGTATAGGCTGATCGGCAAAAAACGGTGGATAACCAGCAGTCATTTCGTACTAAAGAGAAATAGATTTAAAGAAAAAGAAAAAAATAAATTTAACATCCACTTTACCAATAATACACCTAATGCCCAGTAGTCGACACCTTTATTATAGCCACGACTGAGAATTATTTCTGGGGCAAGATATTCTAAAAGTAACTGTTTCAATATATTGAAATTCGGGCTATTAGATAAACGTTACCAGGTGTTCCACATAATGTGTATGTACGGTCTTTCACACGTTTTGCAAAACCGAAATCTGTCTAAAAATTTAAGAAAAAAAAAATCAATAAAATTTATTTCTATATTAGCTTTTTACTATTTTCAAATAACCATCAGATCCAAAAAGTAAATTTTCCGGTTTCAGATCTCTATAAATCTAAATACAATGAAAAAGTAGAAAAAGCATTTATTATTATGACAAAATAAAAATAAAAACAATAACTCAAATAACGTACAACACTTAAATGATGAAGATATTCGAAAGCAAGTACGATTTGTGCACTATAGAATCTAGCCATGTCTTCTGAATAACGGCCAAGAGCACGTAAATGTGCGAAAAGTTCACCTCCAGGTACAAATTCCAGGCCAAGATATAGATAGGAATTATCCTTAAACGTGTATAACAGTTTAACAATAAATGGACTTGATAATGCTTGAAGAATCTTTTTCTCTGCTAATGTATGATCGATTTGCTTCATTTTAATAATAACTTGTTTTTCGAGAACTTTCAAAGCAATTCTTTCATTTTCAGAATCAGTCCGATGCTTAACCAGAATTACTCGACCTTCGAAGAAAAACAAGTTAGATAATGTATATTGAGTTTTTCATTATTTACCAAACGATCCCGTACCGATCGTACGTACAAGTTCAAAATCACTTAGACTAGCATTTTGTCGTAGAGGACTGTCAAGTTTGGCAACGAACTTTTCCTTTTCTTTTTCAAGAAACGACTGAATCTCCGTTTGACTTCGTTTCACACTATTGGCTGGACCCATTCAAGTGCTTTAGTCAATAGTAGATTGAAGAAATTTCAAATATGAATGATGCAATTCACTTAAAACAACGAAAATTTGATGAAATAATTAATGGCGTGATAATGTCGATGAACTAAAAATGCAATAAATAGATAAGTATTTTTATTGGCAGAATCGATCAAGTTTTCTTCTTCTTCTTCTTCTTCTTACTCGCAGCTAGTATTATATATTACTTCAGTTGATATAGTATTCTTTTGTGTTATTGTCTATAGAAAACTAGATTAAGAAAAAAATGTACTTGCATCCTATGTATATTTTTATCTGCCGGGACAGCCATGTTTACTTCACGACTTCGGTTTCTACTCGACTTCGGAAAAGATAATTGAATCGAGAGAAAAAAAAGTAAAGGACAATAAATAGCAAAACGACATTGATAATTGTTACAAAATGACTTGTTCGTTTTTATGAAAGATTTCATTTTTATTGAGGCCTTGAAGAATCATCTATGATGCAGAAGAAAAATAACTGCAATGCTTATCGATTTTCTAGTTCTTTTGTAGAATATAAGTATGTGTATTGAGACACCTATCAGTAGGAGCTAAATATAAGTCTTTATTTAAAAGGAGAATCTAAAAATAAATATCTGTTGTTGCCAATCAAATTTATTTCGGCGATATAACCAGGTCAAAAAGCATAAATAGAAAAAATTAAGCTCACTACATACCACTTTATCGTTCCTGATGAGAAAAAAAGAGCTAATCTTTCATCTATATAATAGAGCATGATATAATACTTAAAGCAAATAACAGGATTTCCATGCAGCAATGACTCCCTTGAGAATATTTCGTCTTGCTGAAGTCCACTAGTTTTGTTTCGTACTGTAATTTTGTTTTTGTTAAGCAATATTTCAAACTCAAAGAACAAATTAAAAAATGGTCTACTTTGAAAATTTCTTCATCGGATTAACTACTGATAAAATTAGAACGATCTAATGGAAAAGAAAAATATAAGAGAATTGATAGCCATTGAAAACAGGAATCAGCGGAAAGATTCCACACGACTTTATTCTGTTTCTTCTTCTTGCAACAAGAAAAAAAGGACACTCATACTTACCCTTCGTAAATCTTCTGTTGCAACAAAATGATTTATACAGGATGTGATAAAAGAGAGAAGAAAGCAATTTTTTTCAAGATTTACAAGCTGATATTATTGGTTGCGTTCTCTGCTGGCTTTTATTATCATTTGTTATCAAGTAAAAAGAAAAAAGATCTGCTATTATAAATCGTCAAAAATGCATTTTCTTATGATAGAAAACAATAAAATTATTTCTCAGAGCATAAGCAGTAACTAGTTTAATGATCCAGATTTGGCAACAAACACTTATCTTCGATCCTTAACAGTCGATTAATCCATCGACAGCTTACGTTAAATATCCATCTATTGCATAATTCTCATTTTTTCTTCGTTGAATCAGAATTTATTTCCAATATCCTTTTTCACATGATGAATACACTTCAAATAATAAGACAAGTCCGACAACATTCCTAAAAAACCCGAAAGAATTCTACAGAGAATCTATGGTACCGTCAATATTGTTTGTTTTCATGCTGTTATTCATATTGCCGACGTATTTTGTTTTTGTTTTTCTCGTCCTATGTTGATAGGGCCACGAAGATTTTTCGACAACCTTAGAATATTGTTTATCAATATAATTCTATCATATCTAACTCGAGTGTTAGATACTGAACAAGACACAAACAATCCGATTTGATCATCTTCTAATAAATAACAATTATAGTCATAGCGTGTTGATGGTTAGCATCAGTGAATCTTGTTTACAGTTTAATATTATCCAGTATAATGAGTACATCGATCTAATAAAACGCCGACGATATTTTTTTATCCGCTAAGTTAACATCAGAAAGTAAATTATGCGATAACCTTTTGCTCGAAAGTTATTTTTAAAGCATGCAGCGTACAACGTCAATTTTAGATCAATGAAACAGTTAAAATTTTTTTGCTAAGGCATGACTATTCGAGAATAAAATCATTAGCATAAAGATAATTACAAAAAATGAAATGTAGAGATAAAAGAATTTCAGTAATTGTAGGTTTAGTTTATACTATTTTAAGATGAAAAGAAAACGCCAGCTTGTAATGTGCTAAAAGGCATGCCACACACACGACGGGAACGCTATTAACGCTATTCTTTTTCATAATACCAACTGTCATGTTGGAAGAATTGTGTCGGCTTAGGTGTTTTGTTTTGGCATTAGAATTCAACACTCATTGATCAAATAAGGATATTGGCATCTAGTCTTATACTTCTTATATTAAGAAATGAAAATTAGTGAAGAAATTTCATAAAAAAAGAAGTTAAAAATAACTAAGGGCGCAATCACTTTTCTGCATGTATTAAAAAACAAAATTTCCAGATCAAATAATGATAATGCAAGAACGACTAATTTATTCGTGAATCATAGTTTATTGCAACGAAGTAATACTGACATGAATAAATATTTATTTATTTTATGTCCATGACATATGAAGAACATTATATTTCTGGGAAATCCTCAGCCTATTCATTAGGGTCTAACGAATGCACTTTACTTTATATCACTAATAAGATATAGATTATTATTATAAAACATACATCGCAGAGCTTGTCAGGGTTTCCGCGAAAAAAATATTTGCAAAGGACGTCCCTCTCGGGATTTATCAGAACACTGCGATGTATGTTGTAAATAATACAATGTATTGAAATAAGATTTTAGAAAACGTATTGAAGTTAATAGTTAATTCTTCAATGAAGAAATAGTAGCTGCACAAAAATTCTTTTAGTGATGAAGAATTTTTTTAAAGGAAGAACAAAAAGAATGCAAATAGAAGAAAGTGGGTAGTGGCTTAGATGAAAATGCATTTCGAAAAAATGATCTTGCTAGCTGAAAAATGCAAAAAATCTTTGATTTTTTTGTATTGTTGGACAGTCACTGAACTATCGGACTAGTACTTTTTAAAGCAATCGATTATAAGATGGTCGAAATTGTCAAGTAGAAATGTGTGAAAGTCTTTTTTTTTCTTATAAGATTTCATTTAATAGAAGTATGAATCACGCAAGGACAAATCTCTTTGAAAGTAAGCTGTGAAAATCTGTTTCTTAACTATTAGTTTCATTTCGCCGAACGATTGACGCTGGTAAAATGAAGTACCTACCGTCTTCGACGATTATTTTAGATCTGTTTCTCGCTATGAAGATAGTTCACTGTATGATAAAATGCTCTCTACGGTGATATACAGAAGTGATAATTCATGTGATTAGCAGAGCATTGATCTAATTACAATATGATTTCCACACTCGAGAAACAAAAGATCAAACAGAAGTTGATTCAACAATATCTTTAACAAGAATAATATGTCATCTAACGTTTGTTCGTATTAGGCAATGTATCTTTCACCGGATAAGTCTATGATTCTTGATTCGTTAGATAAATACAGTTGTCTTCCAACAATATATACATTTTATGTGTTTTTGGAGTCAACACATACGAAATAATCGTTCTCGCAATGAGCAGTAGAGTAGAGTTTGAATATTCGGCGACTTGGTTCTACAAAGAATTTGAATAATCTCTCCGATGACTATGATTTTTTTTCATGTAGAGTTTGTTGTTGTTCGGGGTTAACCTTTAATATTTTCGGCTCATAATATAAAATTCGTATTACTTTCAGCATGATGCATCACAAGTTTTATTTACAGAATATAAACGTATATATGTTGTATAATTTCGATCTTTACCGGTTATCGGGTTTATTAGAATTCACATTATCGAAAACAATGGATCTGACAGTTTATGCAAAAATATTTTTAATTGATCTCAAGTTTCCGGGTAAATCAAGCTAAAACAAAAATTCGAAGTCCATGAATAAAAGAAACACTGATAAACTACTTTCAGTACTTCTTAATATCTCGTATATAGTTTAAAACTATTTAGTAAGAAAACCAGAAAGTCCTGAATCCTGACTCGGTTTTCTAAATAAAAGAAGATTTTAATGAATTTCTATATGTCCATTTTGATATTGGCTAAAGCTCAACAAATCAGAATGTATTCTAGATGCGATACCATAGATTTTTCTGATTTGCTGAGGTTTTAAAAGCTTGGTCTCAACTTTGACGAACGATCTTGAATTTTAAACCGAGTATTTTTCTTGGAGAGAGTTAAAATATCCCGAAAAAAAGAATCATGCGACAAATTCAAAGTGAAGTAGATCAGTCTCAAAAAAGAGAAAAATCATAACTGTCGAGAAGTTTTTCCTTAAGCCACGATTAAGATAATAGAATGAGTCATTTCACGAATATAATCAGTATGTCAACAAATATTTTTTTCAAGATGCATCTTTTGATGGGATGGGATAAACTTTCTGTCCTATCCCACCCCATTTGGAGCTCTGATTCGTAAGACTTGAGAGATAAGATATTTTGCTAGATTAAACTTTCGCAATTTTCTGATTTATTTTAAAGAGCTAGTTTGAACTACCCATTATAGTCTCTGAATTCACTGCTATCTTTGAAGAAAATGCAGAGTTTAGTATCGATTGTCAATTTTGTTTTTATAAATAACGCCTTTAAAAAATCATTTTTCAATTGTGTGTGTGTGTAAACTGTTTAAGCACACATAATTCAAAAGAGAATTCAAGTAGTAATGCTTTAATTCAACTACGACGCTATGTAATTATAACTTGGCACTATTAGCATCGGTGACCTCATTGATCTTATCAACAGCAATTAAAAGTATTCAATTACTTAGCAGCGATGCTATGTGCATCTATCGTTCAAACTCCTGTTAATGGTTCAGCACGGTTCCAATAGCAACTAGTGCTTGGGAAAATGTACCAAATCAGGACATGCGCTTTTTATCTTTCTAGATTTTTACTTTACTCGATATTACCGCTGCACCTTTGATGGATCACTTCATATGGTCGTGACAGTTTGATTGATCAGTTATCTTTTTATCTATTTTTTATGTATATTAATAAGAAAAAGAATACGTTGCAGTAGGTAAACAAACATGCTATCGATAAACAAATAGACAGATACTGAAAAGTTGTCTGAATTAATTGTTTTCTTCTGTTTCATTGTAGTTCTTGAAAAATTGGAATCCTTAATGTTTTTTGAGAAATATCGACGCACCGTCTGTTACATGAATAAATCTCCTTGCTGTCATGTTCGTCAAAGTCAATGACTTGGAGAAAGTTTTCTTTAATGTCGATGCGTATAAACTAGAACTCCATGCGGAACTATTTGCGCAATGAAATCAAAAATCTTTTTTCAAGTTTCGCTACTTCCACGAACCCATCTTTAGTTCTCAGTATGTGCTGTTCGTATTTTTTCACAATAGAATACATTTCAGGATTGACAGTTTGGATTTTCTTTGCTTTTTAGCTGAAATATAAATAGAAATTTCAAATAGATGCTTTAGGGTCGAATTTTAAGTCAAATCTATTTAACTAGTAGATTATAAATCGGTAATCTTTATGGTAAAGTAAAGTTAGTGTAATTTCTTTTTTTTTCGTGTGTTATTTAGAATTGCATGATATTTTTAGTCCGATTTGTGCTCAATTGTATCTTTGATAATTTTAGTAATAATATTTTTTTAATCTATATTTCTCAAGCCAATGCCCAAACAATGAACAGTTGTTCACAACTGACCAAATGTATAGGATTCCCATAAGCAATGAATAACTAATCTGAGATTATTTTAATCGGAAAATTTTCAAATCCACGTTTGCGAACGGGAGAATTCCAAATTGTTAGCTATGATATAAGAGATAATAAAATCATGATTATATGCTATTGAATCATCCGAAGAAAAAATCATTTTATTTCAAATACACTAAAACTATAGATTTTCTATAAATAAATAATTGACTTTTTCTTTTTCTCAAATTCAAATCGAAATCTTCATTCATAAACAGCAAAAAAAGAAAATCGTTCATGTTCATTATTATTAATTAAATTTTCATACATCTCGTATAAAATGAAGCAAAAACTAAAACACTTTCAAATTATTAAATTTTACGATCTATTTTTTTACTGAACAATATAAGAGCTACATACACAATAATTACAACAAAAAACGAAAATAAATAACAAACTAAGGCACTATACATTTGTCGACGTGCACGTGGCGATGATACATTTACGGTTGGATAGAACATTCCAATATAAGGTGAAGTTGGCTCATAGGTATTTTCAATAATCGACGATGAAAATGATTCAAGTGAAACAGCTAGATGATTCGGAATTTGACTTGATGCATCGGACTGAAAATTAATCTTAAAAACAATTATACAATTTTTTGGGAAGTTTTTTTTCGATTTTTTACTTACATATTCTTTCTCTTGCCACACTTTTCTGCATATGGGACAGTCTAATTTTTTCATAGCAAACCATTGCGTTATACAATCATTACAAAACTCATATCGATGGTTGCAATTAATTACTGGTATATCAACTGATTTTTTTTCCAGGCAAATGCAACAGATTTTATTAATATTCTGTTGATTAAGTGATGTTGATGAAACTGTCCTATTCATTCTTTGACATAGATAAATACTGGCCGAACGACGCGTTTACTCAGCCTGGCTGACCTTTTTCCATTTTCCTCTCGTTTCTTCTATTCATCGTGCTCAGCTGATAGTGTTAATAGAGAGAAAGAAAAAGTGTCTCGACGTGATGGCCGCTGCTTATTCTTCATCCAAAAAAAAAAGAAGAAGAAAGAACGATGAAGCTCATGCATGTGAAAAAAGTCATTGGAAGAATAGAAAATGCAAAGACAGTAGTTTGGTCATAGATCGTGCGGGACAATTGGTTCATACGTCGGTAGAGCATACATATTTTCCCAAATGTGTGAGAGACATACAGATGCATGGAACCGAAAAAAAATTTGAAGTGGTGTTGCGATAGCAGCAATAATTGACCACGGTATAACATGATAGAAGGCCAATTGAAATGGATTAACTTCATGTTTTGTTGTTGTTGTAGTTTCTTCGAACCATAAACTAAGATCCAGCATAATTAATAATGTAATTACTTCGCGTGCTGGGCATTCACGAGTATTTGTTCGTACGAGACGCTTACGTAGACCAACAAGTATAAAAAATGCATGAACAGTGCCTTCAATAAATTCTAAAGTATAATTGAAGAACAAAAAAAAATGAAAAGATATCCAATTAGTGTATTTTATGTATTTCATACCTAAAATAACAATACCTATTTTAAGATAAGCAATCCATGTCGCTGGATTTTTATTGTTGAATAAAGCAAACGCACTAAATATTGAATATAAATAAATACCGGATAGTGATACAATAATCAAAACACTATCAAAACCTAAACAAAACAAAAAAGATTTCAATTGATAGTTTTGGGGGGAAAAGCATTCGAATTTTATTTACGTGTAGTTATTCTTTTATATTCGAATTTTCGAATTTTAATCAATGTCCATGTTGTACCAAATAAAGAAATGATTAATAAACAGAGATTAACTATTTCAACAATAGCGATACTATAGAGAACTTTTTTTGGTGTTTTAGATGTCAAACTAAATGGACTATGGGTCGAGGTAATCAATAAAGAACGATTTCGATAGGATACAGTTGTTGGTGTCTGAAGAATATTTAATGATGTGGATATTAATTCTATATCATCGGTGATGTTATTTTGAAGGATAGCATAAAGTATTATTGATATAACTGTGCATGAGAATATAACCATGCCAGCAAAGAAACCTTTTATTGATGCATGGCAATTAACCATAAATACATTTTTAGTTGAGGCTTTATCAGACATTTTATAAGTGAAAGTTTTACCAATATTTTCCCATATAAGAAAAAATAACTAAATATTGCATGTTTTTTTTTAAATGAAGAATTTTTTATTTCTTTATGATTCTTACTGTTAAACACATAAGACTAAATTCAATGGTACATGGATAGAGTAGTGGTTTTAATTTTAAAGAGCCTTGATTAATAGAACTCGTCATTTCAAGAGTATCTTCTATCGATTGTCTACAATGCAGTCGATTCATGAGATTTTGGCCATTTTGGATAAAGTAGTTACTATGAATTGTCACATTATTATATTGGCCAATGATCGTTTCGTAGGCACTCATTTCCTGTATTTGAGATTTTGTTTCATTAACAACCATACGAAACCTAAAAATGATTGAACCTTGCCTTTTAACACGCGAATGATGAACCCTGCTGAGATCAGTATGTATTGAAATAATGATAAAAGTTTTCGCAGCAAAGATTACATACGAAGTCAGATGACATCTTACGAATGAGTGACTAGATAAGCGTGAAATTGTGAGGACACAGACAGTTGTGTGCCAATATTTGCTTTGTCTGTCTCTCTCTTTTTCTCGAACACTTGTGCGCTCGAGCAATTGCTCGCTAGGGAAATCGTTTAATCATATACTTTTTTTCTGAAGTGAGGGTGTGGCTGAAGAGAACGCTCACTCCTACATCCCCATCGTTCATCATACACAGATTGTCTGGAGTATTAGCATACACAGAGAACTGTTGTGTCCCTTTCCCGATCAATTATATATGAACCGTTGATTTCTTTTTCTATTTGCAAATGTACGGTTCTTCATATGCAATGTTTACTTGAAATGCACTAACAATTATCTATATATTAAAAAAAAGATTTCAATTAAAACTAGATAATATTCGAGTTTCACTCGACTAAGAAATGCGGTGCGAAGCAAACGGGCCGAATTTTCGAAAACGAATAAGATAAAAAAATGAATGATCAATTTCAGAGTTCATTAGAATCGTTTTTTCTTAATGTCTACGAATTTTGAATTTATGTTTCGCATTCACCATTCTTAAATCGATCATTATGAAATTCGTCACTAGAAGATCTCTTTGAAAATGTAACAATCCGTTTTCTAACGAGTGTTTTTCATTGAACAATTATCTACTTTCATGAATCATTATCCTGAATCATATGTAAAGCAATAGACTATTGGCTAACAATTATTGATGACGCCATTTTAATTATCTCGAACTTTGAAAACGACAAATTCCTTTGATTTTCATCATTTTGGAACCACATTTGTGAATGAACGGAATATCAGATTAAAGAATAGGCAAAAATATGTCAGAAGTTCGATCTCGATACTTTCACCTTCCATTTCAATGAGTTTTCTATGATTTTCGGTTCTCGAGATCATCGCGTCACAAAACGACGAAAAAGATGCGTTCGTCGAGAAAGCAAAAGAAAACACACGACGGACTACATAAATGCTGTGTTTCGCACCGCATTAAAGAAATGAATTTTTTTCATATTGTATGAAAATATCTAAGCAAACTTAGAATAATTTACAGCTGATTTTCTCATTAATAAAAACATACGTATTGAGTTCAAACGGCATATTTCGAATCTCTCGTCAAACCATGGTAATTTATAATCCATCGCTAATTATCCCATCGGTACTTCCGCATGAAGTTCGCGGAGTAGAATTTTATTTCGAGAGAAAAGTCGAAGACATACGAGTTCTCATGTCTTCAAAATTAACTACTATGAGAAAATGAGATCCGGTTATCGTATCAGCATTTTAGAAAAAATAAAATAAAAATCTATCAATTACATACCATACACACAAGTTGGTAACAACGACATGCATTACAGCTAATCGAGCAAAATTTTCATGTACTCGAATAATTAACTAAATACAAAAGTAAAACTTCTGTTTCAAACTTCTCTATAATTTACTCGAAATATTTACATTAGAATGTTTAAAAATAAAGAAAAATTGAACGAAACTAAACAATAATCTTGAAAAATCATCGACAACATTTGTCCACGGTACACAAATAAAATTTTCAAGATTACTTAATATCGATAAACCTGAATGTATAACTGTACCAAGACAAAAAACTAAATTAGTATTAAAAATAATATATTCATACACACATGATTAATAATCTTCGACTTACTTCCGATTCCGACACGAATGTAAAGACCACCAGTTGTTGAACGATCATCATAATTATATCCAATATCTCGGTGAACAATAGAATCTTTTTGTTGATGAATATCATTTCCTATTGCATGCGTTCCATTTCGATTTATGTTTTGTCCGCTGATTAAAATATTAATAGGTTTACTCCTAAAAATCGATAAATTATCTGATGATTTCGATTTATTATTATAATGATTATCTTCATTTATCGTTGATATTTGATTTTGATGTTGATTATAATTACTAAATGTTCGTAAATTAAAATAGGATTTTGAAGAAAATCTTAAATCTTGATTTTCTCGAAATAAATTTGTTTCTGTATGATTTGAATCTAAACTATTAACTCTTATCGAATGAGTATGTAATCTTCGTTTATGGCGAACAATATCAACAATACAAAATATTATCCAAATAATCGATACCCAATAGAGAGATGTAAAATAAATCTAGGATTATAAAAATGAAAAGTTTTCATGTCGTTGTATTTTCACTATATTTACTGCAGCCAAATCTTTTATATTTTCTCCTTGTTCAGATGGTATGATAGCACTAGAGATGGAAAACGCCACACCACCCATAAAAACAACTAGAAAAAAATTCGATACAAACAATAGCTTTCGGGTGTTCTTTATAGTTCTAATAAAGAGATGCTGTTAATTCCTTACCGAGGCCATAAAGTATACTGAAAATTTTGTAAGCAGCGGCATTTTCTTCGACGTTCCTTTAGAAAGAAAAATAAGAAGTATAGACTCTAATGGAGCTCGTCATTGAAATGAATTTTCTACTGTTTGAGTTTTTACTATATATGCACAAGAGATTCATAGTTACCTTCCTTGTAAAAATGGATTTGCCAAATTTTTCCGACCTAATAATGTTTTAAGATCATATTTTCTCGATATCGACGATGAATGACGATGAGAGTTGAAAACTAAATTTTTTTTCATTTTATCTTCAATTTAATTGTTTAACAAATTAGAAGAATTTATTTCTGGTTTAGCATTTGTAACTTCATCAGATGTAGCATAATATAAAACGCTAAAATTGTTCAGTAGATTGCTCTACGATTTCCATATTGATAAATGGAGCAATGAGTAAACTCTTTTTTGTTGTTTTTCATATGTAAATACTGTTTTCTGTCACAGTATGTGAGATTAAATTACTAACCAATCTATTTCGTATTTTCTCAATTATATATGATTGAAATTCCATGACGATAACTATATTCATTCAAAATAAGCACCCACGCACATCGTCTACTCAGAATATGCGGCTCATCATGCATACGTTTATCTATGTAAGATGGAGAATAAGAAAATAAACGATGATTTAAATCATAATTCATCATTGTATTATATCATATAGATTTTATTAATATGTATGCACATTTGTACACACGTTATAAGAAGAGAAAAAGCGCACTCAATTAATATATATTTGTGTAATTTTTATAGTCCAGATAAAGTGACTGGTTTCTCACTACCATAGTTCATTGAGTCAGTTCGATACATAGACGGTGTAGCATACGCTGATGTTGAACTTGGCATTGGTTGAACATATGGAGTATCGATTGGGCAATATTTCGTATCTTTAGCATTGATATGACTCGGAGTCACGAACTGTTCGCCTGCAAACATGAAAATATATTGATATAGATTCAAAAGAAAATCAATATATACGAGTTTCAGTTGTAAGGCCAGCATGAGGAATGAAACGTGCTGGTTGATGAACTTGTCGAACTTTTGTTGGTGTTGAAAACCAAATTGCGTCACGCATTGGTAATTGTTCACGTTCAACACTATCTATAGGTAATGGATTTTGTGCATTACCATAGCCCCAGGCTTTAGGATATTCTTCAGCGTCCCAATAAGATAATGGATCTTTTTTACCAATACCTTGCCATTCATCCCTTGATGTAGAGAACAAAATAAGATTTTCATAATTCAAAATTTATTAACGACATACTTTCTCCATCGACGATGTTCTTTATTATATGTTGTTAAATAAGGATCAAGAAGTGTAAATACACCTTGCTCCGACGGATCCCATGTACGAGCAACTGTTACTGGTCTTGTTGGTCGTCCATCTTCACGTATAGCCTAAATCAGGTTATTTTTTTTTCTATAAAATTTTTCTTTGTATGTCTAAAAGAAAACGTTTACTTTAGTCACAGGTGCTTCAGGTTGTGTTAAATAAGGCAACTGCCCATCAATACGATCTAATTCTGATTTCATATTTGGCTTCATATCGAATTCTTCCTTGTATTCACTTTTCTGATGAGACATTGATAATGGACGACTCCATCCGTGAGCTTTAAGTTTTTCCACGAAATCACTCATGTAATTTACTTAAGAAAAGAACAAGTTTAATTTCTAAACCAAACAAATCGTTGGTATACCTTTATATAAGGCCGGTGCCTTTCTATGCATATTCACTTGATCATTGTATACTTCTTGTTGCGGATATTTATTGTCATAAAAAGCAGCATTAGTTGTTTTAAAATGTTCTTGAGGTGTAATTTCATCAGGAGCACGTAGTCGATTTGGTAATGGATCGGTAAAAGCCCGCTAATAATATTAAAGAAAAACGTCAAGATCACAGTAATAAAACTTAACCGTACCTTGAAATTGGTTGAAGGGAAATAATATCCTGGCCGATATTGATGACCAACACCAGTACTTGTTTGAAAAAGATCTTGTCGGCGTTCAGATGAATTAGAGTCAAGCATTTTTTGCTGTCGATAAGAAAAGGAAATCTACAAACAACAACAATTCAAAATATGTTCCATTGACGACTATCATAGATTTGTGTTACTAAGCAATTTCATTTGATTCTCTGTGCAATTGTCGCTCGTGGACAACACAAGTTTGAATTCTATTGGACGATTTCATCCAATAGTATCGATAGAAAAGTAAATTTTGAAATGCAATGTACAACGTCATCAAATCGTTTACTTTCATTATCTTTATCATAATGATGTTTTCGAGTGATGGATTTCTAACTGATAATAATGCTTCGTCTGCAAATGCACGCCAAACACATGTCTTTACATCTTTTCCCAATTCTGCGGTAGATGTTGATGATGAACGACCGGAAAATAAATCAACAACACAACAACAATCTGACTCAGACAAATATGCCCTTCCATTGCCGGCCACTGCCAATGAGTCAGCACCTGAACAATATCATATGTGGCAAATCGAATATTATCAAAAATATTTTCAAGTTGATACTCAACAAGTTCTCGAGCGTTTAATTGGTTCCATGACGCCCAGACCAAATAAATCTTATTTCGATTCAACTATTCGACAAAATCCTGATTTATATGGGCCATTTTGGGTTTGTGTAACATTTATTGTAACTGTTGCGATCAGTGGAAATATAGTAAATTATTTTCACCAATCTGATGCTGAATTTCAAATTGATTTCTCAAAAATTACTTTATCAGCTATTGTAAGTCAAACAAAATACTCTTCTCACTGTAATATATCTAGACATGTTTTATTGTTTATGAATAGCTTGTTTGTTTCTATTGGTGGATGATGCCAACATCAATATATTTTTTCTTTCGTTGGCGTTTAAATCGTATTGAATATACATTTCTTGAATTACTTTGTATTTATGGTTATAGTTTAACTATATTTATACCGATCTCAATTTTATGGATCATACCGATTGGTTGGTTACAATGGACATCAACAATACTAGCGTCGATTATAAGTGGCAGTGTTTTAATTGTTACATTCTGGCCAACAATTAATGCTGATCACAAACGTTTTAGTACTGTGTCAATTTTAGCTGTTTTTTTCTTACATTTATTAATGGCAGTTTGTATTATGCTAGTATTTTTTCATGTATCTGATAACAATATTAATCCAACGACACCATCAATTACTCTTTCTACAAGTACTATATTGACAACATCAAAAAAAATTGCTTAGAGTTTTCTATTGGACACATTCCTATTTCTTTCAAGGTTTTTGCTTTTTTTTTTAAACAAATATAATACGAATACAGTACAGTTTTTTTGTTGCATTATGCAATGAATTTCTTTGCGGTTTAGATAGAAAATTGTTGCATGGGAATATTATACCATCGAAAAATATAAATCAAATAGCAGGTCATAGGAATTTATTTTATTCAAAACTATTTATAGTTCCCTAACGAAGTTCAACTATGAAAACTATTCAATTTACTAATAGCAATAATTTTGTTTTCAGATCATATTTTCTAGTGAAAAAACGATGCCACCTAAAAAGAAAGAAGATGCCAAACCAAAACCACTCATTGGCCGAATTGGTACTAATCTAAAAATGGGTATTGTTGGTTTACCAAATGCTGGGTTTGTTGAATAATGTTATTCGATTTTGAATCATTATTGATTACGTCTTTTCAGGAAATCAACATTTTTTAATATTCTAACGAAATCTAGTGTACCTGCGGAAAACTTTCCTTTTTGTACCATCAATCCAAATGAAAGTAATATTAAATAAATAAAAAAGCAAACATTGACTTCATCTTATCATTTTCAGGTCGAGTTCCAGTACCGGATGCACGATTCGATTTCTTATGTCATCATTATGAACCATTAAGGTATATTATTTGATTTAATAATTCATAAAGTTTTATCTTGGTCTCGTTTTCTAGCAAACAACCAGCATTTCTCAATGTGAATAAATAAAAATAGTTTTTTAGTTTTGTAAATAGTTTTATTTCTCTATTGAATATAGGTTGTTGATATTGCTGGTCTAGTTAAAGGTGCCAGTGAAGGTCAAGGTAAGAAATAATACAGTATTTCAAACGATACTAGATAGTATTTATCATAGGTCTTGGAAATGCATTTCTATCGCATATAAAAGCGTGCGATGGCATATTTCATATGGTTCGTATTTTTGATGAAGTTGATATAGCTCACGTCGAAGGAAATATCGATCCTATTCGTGATATTGAGATCATTCATGATGAATTAAGGTTAGTGAATATATTTAGTTTTGAGCTTCGTTTAATTCAGTATTTCATTCTAGATTAAAAGATCTTGAATTAACAAAAAAAATTGCCGACGATTTAGAAAAAAAAGCTGTACGTGGAAACGATAAAGCATTAAAATTTGATCATGTAAGATAGAATTTTTGTTTTATTGATTTATGTATGTTTTGTTTTTCTCCATAGGAAACAATACAAAAAGTATTACATATGTTAAGCGAAGAAAAAGGTAGCGTTCGTTTTGGTGATTGGAACGAAAGAGAAATCGACGTTTTAAATAAACATTTATTTAATACATCAAAACCAATGGTCTACCTATTAAATATGGCTGAAGAAGATTATATTAAGAAGAAAAATAAATGGTTAGGAAAAGTTAAACAATGGATTGATGAACATGATCCCGGTGCGACAGTTATACCGTTCAGTGCTAATTATGAATATCGTCTTGTCGATTTACCTGATGAAGAACGTGAAAAAGTCATTAAAGAAACAGGAGCAACAAGGTAAATGAGATTTTATTTGAACTCGTATATATGTTTTTTTTTATTAAAAAATTTTTTAGTGCCTTGGAAAAAATTATTCTGGCTGGTTATCGAGCATTGCAATTATGTTATTTTTTCACATGCGGAAAAGATGAAGTTAAAGCATGGACTATTCAAGTTGCTACAAAAGCACCACATGCTGCCGGACGCATTCATACGGATTTTGAAAAAGGTTTCATTATGGCTGAAGTTATGAAATATGAAGATTTCAAAGAATTTGGAAACGAAAATGCAGTTAAAGTAATAGAAGAAAAATTCGTTTTTTTCTCTTCACTAAAAATATGATTTCAATTTTTAGGCAGAAGGAAAATATCGACAACAAGGAAAAAATTATACTGTTGAAGATGGAGATATTATCTATTTCAAAGTTAACGCTGGCGCCGGCTTAAGTGCAGCAAAAAAATAGGCGACATTGTTTTTCTAGTTGTCTTTCGCTTTGTTAAAGTTTTTTTTCGATAATAAACTTGATCAATATAACAGTTTTTCGTTTTTTTTTCAGATATGTCGTGGAACTCTCAAGGTTTCTTAGATTCTTCTACCTACAATCAACAATATGGTGGACCAACAGCCTATGAACTTCACCAAAAACAGCAGCAACAACAACAGCAACACTATGGGCCTCCTCCTCCTCAGCCGCATCTACCCTACCCAAGCGGTAATTTTATGCCATCACAATACAATATAAATCCACAAGGAAATCCAGCTCAATTTTATCGACCAGATGATTTCCTTCCACCACCTGTAAATCCAGTAAATAATGACGACGACGAAATACCATTACTTGAAGAATTAGGCATTAATTTCGATCATATCTATAAAAAAACTAAATCTGTTTTAAATCCATTTGCAACGCCGGATATATCAATTATGGGCGATGTTGATCTTGCCGGTCCACTTGTATTTTGTCTTGCATTTGCTTGTAGTCTTTTATTAATGGGTAAAATACATTTTGGTTATGTTTACGGTATTGTTACATTGGGTACTGTTGGAATGTATGGTTTATTGAATATGATGACATCACCTGACAAACCATGTTCAGGTATATTTGTAACCAGCGTACTTGGTTATTGTCTATTACCAATGGTTATTCTATCGTTTTCATCGTTTTTATTTCAACTAAATGGATTAATTGGTTTAATGGTTGCGTCAATATTTATCATATGGTGTTCATTATCAGCCTCGAAACTTTTCGCGACATCATTAGCAATGATTGGACAGCAAATTCTTGTTGCATATCCTTGTGCATTATTTTATGGAGTTTTTGCTTTGTTAACTATATTTTAAAAAAATAAAAATATTCCATTTCGTTTCTTTGATAAAATTAATCAAGTTGTTTTTTTCTTATACACGAGAGTCAAAACAATGCGCAATTATGCAGTAGAAGCACTCTAATTTTTCTCTATGAAAGTTTGTTTTGCGACAAAAGTGATATGTGATCAAATATAAAATTGAGAAAGACAGGTAATAATTTCCTTTTATGGTATATTTCACTTTACCTTTTCACCTAGCTGTGAAAATATATTGCACAATTTTCTCTTGATGATTCATCCGATACATAATATGTAATGGTAGAAAGCACATCAGAATTACCTTATATGGATATAGCCATAGTCTATTTACCTTAAATAGCATGAATGAAATTATCTTAATACACCTATATAAATGAAACATACATCGAAAATAATATTACTATTCAACCTTCAATTAATTCAACTCCATTATCATATTCAAAACAAAATGTCGTACAATGCTCAAGATGAATTAAATGCTATTGTCATCGACAATGGATCTGGTATGGTTAAAGCTGGTTTTTGCGGGGAAGATGCACCACGAGCTGTGTTTCCAGCTGCAGTCGGTCGACCACATTATACAGCTATTATGCCCGGTATGGGAAATAAAGATTCCTACATTGGAGACGAAGCTCTAGCAAAGAAAGGTATTTTAACAATACGATATCCAATTGAACATGGGATTGTAACAAATTGGGATGATATGGAGAAAATCTGGCATCATACATTCTACAATGAACTACGTGTGGCACCAGAAGAACATCCAGTGTTACTCACCGAAGCACCATTGAATCCAAAAGCAAATCGTGAAAAAATGACACAGATTCTTTTCGAACAATTCAATACACCTGGTAACAATTCCTCTTTTTTATTAGAACAGATTTTCTAAGTTTCTTTCTTTTATCTATTATGTAGCTATGTATGTGGCCATTCAAGCTGTGCTCTCGTTGTACGCAAGTGGTCGAACAACTGGAATTGTTTTAGATAGTGGCGATGGTGTGTCACATACAGTGCCCATATATGAAGGTAAAATATCTAATTTTTTATTCTTGAATTCATAACAAAATATTCGAATATATAGGTTACGCGTTACCACATGCAATAAGTCGTCTTGATTTAGCTGGACGAGATTTAACTGATTGGATGGTTCGTTTGTTAACAGAACGTGGTTATGCATTTACATCGACAGCTGAACGGGAAATCGTTCGAGATGTAAAAGAAAAACTTGGCTATGTTGCATTAGATTTTGAACAAGAATTAGCAGCTTCAAGTAGTTCAAATAAGATCGAGAAAAGTTATGAACTACCTGATGGTCAAATCATAACCATCGGTAACGAACGTTTTCGATGTCCTGAAGCACTTTTTGCACCGGCTACAGTCGGCCGAGAAGATGGTGGTATTGCTGAAATGGTGTATAACACAATTATGAAGGGGGATATCGATATTCGAAAGGAACTATATGGAAATATTGTTCTTTCAGGAGGTACGTTTATTATTTATGAATATGAATTTAGGCTAACGTTTTGTTTGTTATTTACAGGAACAACCATGTTTCCTGGTATTGCTGATCGAATGCAAAAAGACGTTTCTGCACTAGCTCCATCGAATATGAAAATTCGAATTGTTGCTCCACCGGAACGCAAATATGCAGTATGGATTGGTGGTTCTATTCTAAGTTCATTATCAACATTTCAATCAATGTGGATTTCGAAACAAGAATATGATGAATCGGGTCCATCGATTGTACATCGCAAATGTTTTTAAATGAATATTTATTTATATATTTTATTTTTATGTAGATACTGATTTTTTTGTTTTGTATTCAAAATAAAGTTTCAAAAACTGATATTTCTTTTCTATATAAATCATCGAGCTTCGAAAGCTATAAAATAATCCGCGTTGGAATAAATTTTTAATAAATACATTGCACTAACTACACGTGAGGGTGTGTGTGTGTGTGTGGTTGTAGAGTTATATATGTATTCACATGTCGGACATATCGGAAACTTAAGCTAAAACTAAATCTAGGAATAGATTTAGTTTTAGTTTAAGTTTTTCTTTTTTCCATTTATATTCGAACTCGAATTGGACAGCTGCTCTTCTTGTGAGCCTTGTAAGCGTTTTCTAAATCAACTGAATTCGTTGTTCGAGTTTGTATATTACTCATATTCAAACGTAATTTGATACTGATTTAGGTCACTTTTACGTCTGATATTCGACACGCTTTATATCAGATTCACAGGAAAAGTTGTATTCCACCTCAAATATTCTGTCAATCGGTGTAGAATTAAGATTCTTGTTTTCGAATTAAAAATTGAATGTTTAAGAATATGCGTGAAGAAACGTTGCACGATCATACTTTCTAACAGAGGTGTGCGAGGTAGGGAATTTTCGTGCCCTGCGGGGTTCGCTCCGCGAATTTCCAGCACCCATCCCGCCGATCCCCGCGTAGTTAAATTGCATAAACTCCCTCGCTCCGCTCGGTCCCGTAAAAAAAAACACTCGCCCCGTCCGTATAAGCCGAAGAAATTTTATATTTAACAAAAAATCTGAGACAAAAGTGTGGAGTAGATGGCTTGAGGGTGGAGGTGGCGTCCATTTACTTCATGTTTCTAATGACACCCACACCCACACTCTTTTTTACGACCCTTCATCGCGCCACATGGAAAATCTTGACCCGCCCGAATCCGTGCAAATCTATACTCGCCCCGCTCGTCCGTCAGTGAATCATTACCCGCAATCCGTCAACCCCGCAGTTTTGTAAAAATTTGCGACCCGCCACGCCGATCCCGCAAGTCTTACGAACCCCACGGGGTCCAACCCGTGGGTCGCACGCCTCTGCTTCCTAGCAAGCAAATATATTTTATTTACTAAGATCGATCTGTCGAGCATTATTGCCTTTTATGGTATGCTTCACTTTACCTTTCACCTAGTTTTCAAAACGATATTGCACAACTTCACTTCAATGACTCAATCGATAAAACATTGAAAACAAAATATATCTTATATGGTCATGCAAAATCAACCAAACTATAAATGGCAAAATATTTATTCGATCAAACTATATAAAAGGTAGCCGTCTTTCATATGAGAATCATTGTACAATTGCAAACAATTAAAAAGAACTATACAATTGAAAGAAAATGCCTAGCAATATCGATGATGATTTAAGTGCCATTGTGATTGATAATGGATCAGGTATGGTGAAAGCTGGCTTTGCTGGTGAAGATGCACCACGAGCCGTATTTCCAGCTGTAGTCGGTCGACCACATTATACTGTTATTATGCCCGGTATGGGAAATAAAGATTCCTACATTGGAGACGAAGCTCTAGCAAAGAAAGGTGTATTAACAATACGATATCCAATTGAACATGGGATTGTAACAAATTGGGATGATATGGAGAAAATCTGGCATCATACATTCTACAATGAACTACGTGTGGCACCAGAAGAACATCCAGTGTTACTCACCGAAGCACCATTGAATCCAAAAGCGAATCGCGAAAAAATGACACAGATTCTTTTCGAACAATTCAATACACCTGGTAACAATTCTTCTTTTTTATTAGAACAGATTTTCTAAGTTTCTTTCTTTTNGGATTGTAACAAATTGGGATGATATGGAGAAAATCTGGCATCATACATTCTACAATGAACTACGTGTGGCACCAGAAGAACATCCAGTGTTACTCACCGAAGCACCATTGAATCCAAAAGCGAATCGCGAAAAAATGACACAGATTCTTTTCGAACAATTCAATACACCTGGTAACAATTCTTCTTTTTTATTAGAACAGATTTTCTAAGTTTCTTTCTTTTATCTATTATGTAGCTATGTATGTGGCCATTCAAGCTGTGCTCTCGTTGTATGCAAGTGGTCGAACAACTGGAATTGTTTTAGATAGTGGCGATGGTGTGTCACATACAGTGCCCATATATGAAGGTAAAACATCTAATTTTTTGTTCTTTATTTCTTAATGAAACATTCAATTATATAGGTTATGCTATACCACATGCAATCAGTCGTCTTGATTTAGCTGGACGAGATTTAACTGATTGGATGGTTCGTTTGTTAACAGAACGTGGTTATGCATTTACATCGACAGCTGAACGGGAAATTGTTCGAGATGTAAAAGAAAAACTTGGTTATATTGCATTAGATTTTGAACAAGAATTAGCAACTGCAAGTCGTTCGAGTAGTATTGAGAAAAGTTATGAACTACCTGATGGCCAAATCATAACCATCGGCAACGAACGTTTTCGATGCCCTGAAGCACTTTTTGCACCGGCTACAGTCGGCCGAGAAGATGGTGGCATTGCTGAAATGGTGTATAACACAATTATGAAGTGTGATATCGATATTCGCAAAGATCTCTATGCAAACATTGTTCTTTCAGGAGGTAATTAATACAATAAGATTTGTAAATAATGTAATACGTATTGTGTTTTATCTTTTCATAGGAACAACAATGTTTCCTGGTATTGCTGATCGAATACAAAAAGAAATTACGTCATTAGCACCGTCGATTATAAAAGTTCGCACTATCGCTCCACCAGAGCGCAAATATGCAGTATGGATTGGTGGCTCGATTCTTAGCTCATTAGCCACTTTTCAAAATATGTGGATTTCGAAACAAGAATATGATGAATCAGGTCCATCGATTGTTCATCGAAAATGCTTTTGAGCTATTTTAGACGTCGAATGTAAATAAAATAGCTCTTCTATTGTTGAAATAAAGTATATGAATTACAAATGTTTTGGTTATCTCATATTCTATTAACATGAAAAAAGGAAAACCTACGATTTGTAGGCTTTTGAAACGGTGTCGAGGCTTTACTAGGAAACGTGAAAATGCGATGGTGCATGGTAGTTTAACTATTACAAAAATCTATCGAGTTAACTTTGTATTTTTTACACAGTAATTTCTTGTCGACGTTGACATCTTAATTCTCCTTAACTGATAGTAATCGAATATGTTATTTTATTATATTAACCTACAAGAGAATGCTCTCTGTTTTGTTTCACATAAATATTTCGAAAAGGCTTTGTAAACGATCTAATTTATTAAGAACAAGAATAATACGTAAATATTCAAGTCATACTTGTCAGAGATCTGCTAAAGTCTATAGATTATATAAAATCTCTGTCGATCTATTTGTTAAATAGATTCTTCGATGCTTGAGGGCAAACTGCTGCGACAACATGAATAAAAATAATTGTATTATCATCTAAATAAATTAAAATGAATATTTTTTGTAAGTCTAATAATAAATTAAAGCTCCTTTTTAGTGAACAAATGTATCAGCACTGGCTTCATTGTAATACCCCAGGTGAATGAATCCAATAGTGAATCCTATCGAATCTCATGGGATCCTACAATAGCCGACAAAATCAGATCAGTTTCCGGGTCTAGGACCTACAAAAGGATCCGACAGAAAAAACATTTTCTTAATTACCAATGAATAAGCATATGGTGCCAACAGAACACATGGGTCGAATGCTTATGTTAGATTCCGATAAATTCCGACATTGGAACCTATCGGATTCCAACACTAGGGTTCAGATTGTAGGTCCCAAACTGGGATTCCGATAGGATTTCGTCGGTTTAATGGAATCCACACTGTATTCGATAAGATTCCGACACGAATCCGATAGGATCCTACTGTCGGAATCATTCTCCTGGAACCTCGCATTTATTTCGCTTCTAGAGTAGTCATTAAATGTAGTTATATAGAATTATTATCAAAATCTTACTCATAAAAATCTTTTCACTCATTCTATCAGCCAAACGTGCCAAAAGAATTCCATTATAAGCAAATGTTCAGAATTACGCGACGTCTATTGAAGTACAAAGATATTGTGTATTTTCTTATTCAACGAAGGATGAGAATGGAAAAAATTTAGTTACTTCTAAATCATTTCTTTCTTCCTTTTTTGTTTCAATAAATAGTTTTTCTTAGATCTATTTATTTATTCTATTTGACTGAGATAAATTATGGGTGTGGGTGTGGATATTTTTGAAGATGAGCTCTACACGCATACTCACACACATACCCTCACCATATCGAGGAAAAACATCACAAAATCGATCGAAATCTTTCTCAGTCTATAAGAAAGAGTAATGTTTATATTGTATATATTCGTAAGTATAGAAAGCTATGCATACGGCTCATCTCGGTCATTCGTTTTTTTATTGAACTTCTTGAGGTAATATCTAGAACTCAGAAGCGTCCGATGAAATTAGGAATTTTCTCTAACAAGAATTTTCTGGTTTCATTTAAATTATGAATAGATTTATATGACATCATTAAAGAGAGATTAACAGTTATAGTCTGGCAATGCTACAATGTTCATTTGATATCATTGAAAAGTATTCTAAATTCGATTATTGAAAAATGATAAATCTGATTGAACTCCTAGGGAATGTACTGGGTTCAGGGTACCCACATACTAAGAAAGCCACACCAGGGTACCTATTAANTGCCTTCTCCCCCTTGCCGCTTTGTCTCTGTAAGGGATATGTAACATCTAGCTACCGCTATACCGCACTGCCGCTATACAGCAATGCCACTATACCGCAATACCGCAATACCGCAATAACATTTGCGGTATTGCGGTATTGCGGTATAAGCATTTTGATTTTGCCGCAAAATGAAATTCCCCACCAACTCGTTTTTTTTTATTCTACTCCCAGTTCTATGGTTTCTATAAGTCTTTTTACGTTCTTTATATTGTTTTAAAGAATTATTGGATCTATTTCCGCTATTGTCCCCAACTAAAGGCAATATTTTATAATAAAAGAATATTTCACAAAACTATTTTTATTATAAAATGTAAGTAACCACATACAATATGATTAAATGACAATTAAATATAGATACATTTTTCACAAGAAAAAAACAAATCTTTAATAAAATGATATCATTTCACACCATCAAAACAAAAAAATATATTTCACTTTTTCCACATGTCCTTCAAGCTTAGTTGTTTATGTTGAGTTTTCATTGTCGAATTTGCATTAACAATCACCTGTTGTTGTTTTTCTACAACATGATTTTGATCATCAATCTCTGCTTCAATCGATTCAATAGAATTTGGATCGAATTTGTACCATTTGATGTGACTTGGTTGGATAATCGCATTATCTATCCAAGTATAACCTAATGAACGAAATGCATTTTGAAAATCAATTGGTTGTAAAGTACGAGCCCATGCTGACGAAGTTAGTCTAGTACATAATATACGTCTTTGAGAAGATGTTAATTTCAATTTTGATCGAGGTCCATTGAGTTCAAGAAATTCTTCTGCACAGTCGTAATAATGATTTTTAAAAGACGAAAATACATATACATCTAAAAGTTGAATATATTGAGTACAACCTTTTGGAATAATAGCCAAACAGACACCATTATCTCGCATTCGTTTTTTCGTATCATCATGTAAATGACTTTTACAGCTATCAGTAATAAAAAGTTTACGGTTACCATCCTTGACTTTGTCAAACCACCAATCCATATATTATATTCATAGCTGATATGTTAATAACCGCTTTTGGAGTAAAAACACCTTTTACACCTCGCGCATATTGTTTTTCTTCTGCAGCAGCAACTCTTCCAGTACCTTTAAATAAAAGAACAGGTTTAACTCGATCATTACCTTCAGGAAACACACACAAAATAACTGTTGCAAAACGTTTATCGTCAAGATGACCTTCAATTTCGTTTTTGGTATTAATGTCGTTGATACAGCGATTTGACTGATCGCCCCATAAATTTAAAGGTGACTCGTCCATGTTGCAAATATCGGATTCAACAAAACATCCCATGACACCACGCCGTGGACCAAATTGACCGGATCGTCGTACAAATGAATGAAAATTTTCAATTAATAAATGAGCTTCCGGAAGAGAAATCTTTTGTTTTCTTACCGGCTTTTGCAATGATAATCTGTCTTTTCAAGAATATTGTATACCATTTCATTGATGGTTCTTTGGTGTTGGTTTCTGTACAATTTTTTTCCCAGTCTTCCCATACCTTTGAATGTTACTTTATCTTTACGAACATTAATGTCTTCTTGATCCTCACCTCTCTTGGATCGATACCATTTAATTAGATGTTCATCCAAATCACAATAGACCAGCTTCGCACCGGCACCATCAAGTCGTTTACGTTTTTTACCTTTACCACCTTTATCTTTTACCACCTTGATGAGCTGATTTTCATTTTTCTTCCATTCACGTATCATTTTCCTTGTACATTTATACTTAAATTCGAGTGCATGTAAAGAAGCACCTTTATTGAATTCGGAAATAATTTTCAGCTTTTCTGCAAAATTCCTTTGCCGACGTTTATGTTCAGTAGCAACAATTTTTGTTTTCGATGTTGAAGAAGTTGACGATTGGTTAAGGCAAATGATTTCTTCATTATTATTTGAATCAGATAAATTTTCAGGTTCATCTTCACTACCGTGCTCGTTGTTGCTAAGATTAAGTCGTATAAAATCATCATTTACCAGTTCTGTATCATTAACTTCGATATCAGAATCAATTGAACTGATATCAGAATCAATTGAACTGATATCAGAATCAATTGAACTGATATCAGAATCAGATTCTTCATTAATGTCATCACTGTCAATACTTAATGGTAATAGATGACAATTTGCGATAAAATCTTTGCCCATAAAAAGTACTGTATGTTTATTCAGTTATGAATAGAATCGAACGGTTGACTCTTCGTGAAGAGAAAACAATGTGAATGAAAAAGAATTGAAATCTATCAAAGTATACACTGCTGTTCACATGCCACATACATATGTATATTAGTTAAGTTAAGCGTTATTCAATTACGTTTACAGTGCTATTCAATTACATTTACAATGGATTTAAGCAGAAAGAGATTGTGAAAGGAATGGACGAGACGTACATAAGAAAAAAACGAGTATATAGGCAGGATAGAAAAACTAAAAAAATCAATCATTCGAAGGGGGGTCTTCTAATATGTCTTTTGTGTCGTTTATTCAAGAGGGGTCTTCTATTATACTCTGAAAAAAATAAAGGAGGTATACAGAACCCTCCGAAAAGGTTCTGTAGATTTTCAAAATGCTCCAAATGTGTCCAAAGTCTCAAAAAAAGGATAAAAATTTTGACAGAACCTTCAAAAGGTTCCGTCAAANTTCCGTCAAAATTTTTATCCTTTTTTTGAGACGTTGAACACATTTGGAGCATTTTGAAAATCTACAGAACCTTTTCGGAGGGTTCTGTGAACCTCCTTTATTTTTTTCAGAGTAGGGGGTCTTCTAACGTGTCGGGGGCTTTACTCCAGGACCATAACGTTCCTAAGACATACTAGTAGCAGGGTACTTTTTCGGGTACCCTTTGTTCAGTACATGCCCTAGTGATTTATATACTTAGATAAAATTCTTTGTTCTACTGCAATGTTCGAGTACATCCAGTCAAGTTCAATAACCATCGATAGTTTAGTTAGTGCTAAACAATAGCAGACAGAATATTTGATATCATGTAGAATATATGTATATTTTCATCAGATCCGTCTATCTATTCATTAAAAACATGATTAATTGCTCCAGTCATCACTAAAGTTCTTATACGGACGATGCAGACAAATATAAAAAAGTGAATCATCTTTATAAAATGATGGAACATAACAATTTTCATCATGTTTAATAATCAATTATTTCGTACAAGACATCCCAAAGCAGTTGTTGTAACATTGGAAATTTCTTTATGATATGATATCAGAAAGAAGGTCACGTACAACATGATAAGTGAAAAATAGTGTTTATTATGAAATAAAAATTTTGTCAGTATATAGTTATTCTGTTACATCAAACACTGGTATTCAAAAATTGATGGATGCAGTGGTTTAGATGTTGAAGAAGCAATAAAATATTTTCTTTATTAATAGTGCTTTACATTTATCAAGATCGTTGACTACCATAGTAACGAATTTTCTATTATATTCAGTCATTTTAATCCGTTGTTATACGAATGTGTTTCGATGACACACTTAAAAAGAAAAGAAAGCGAACAGACAAATAACAGAACAACAACGGAAAAAAGACCTTGCATGTTAATAAATTACAAATTCTCACCTCGATTGGTTGCAACATCAACAAATCAACTAAATATCATGAATAAAACTGAAATGAAGTTCTTCTCCTTATTTATTCTTAGGCATCAGCAACGAGCGTACAAATATTCAACAGAATGTCATTCAACTGCATGAAAGATTCAAATTCCATTGTCATGGATAATGGCTCCGGCACAATCAAAGTTGGTTTTGCTGGTGATAGCCAACCGTGTATAATTTTTCCTACTATTGTTGGCTGTTTGCGTCACACTTCAGTCTCACCTGGAATGAACCTAAAAGATCAATATATCGGGAGCGAAGTAATTGAAAATAAAGACATACTATCGATTCACTATCCCATTGAACACGGTATTGTTACGAATTGGGATGATATGGAAAAAATCTGGCATCATACATTTTATAATAAACTACGCATTGCACCAGAAGAGCATCCATTTCTACTGACAGAAGCACCATTGAATCCTAAAGCTAATCGTGAGAAAATGGCGCAAGTACTTTTTGAACACTTTAATGTACCAGGTATAATACTTTTTCTCTTCTTAATTATACTGTACAGACACCTATAAGGTTAGAAGCTGTTGTTTTCGGTTGTAGTTTGAGTTTAAAAAGAATTATATGATTCGAGCCTCCGGTAGCACCAACATCTGTTTGTTCATCCAGACCCATAAACTCTGGGCCCGAACTATCAACCTGCGTGTATTTCTATTATTCCAATGATGTTTTTGTTTAGCTTTGTATGTGGCTATTCAGGCTGTGCTGACATTTTATGCAAGTGGTAGAATAGCCGGTATCGTTCTTGAAATTGGTGATGGAGTTTCAGCAACAGTACCTATTTTTCAAGGTTTACAATCTCTTTCTATTCTTTTTCTTCACTGACTAGTCGAGTTGTAGGTTACGCTGTATCAAACGCAATTAATCGTCTTGATCTAGCTGGACGAGATTTGACTGATTGGATGACTCGACTGTTAGCTGAACGTGGTTATTCGTTTGCATCAACAGCACAACGTGAAATCGTTCGAGATATGAAAGAAAAGCTCGGTTATGTTGCATTAGATTTTCAAGATGAATTATCGAAATCATCGCATTCAAAAGATATCGAAAAGAACTATGAATTGCCAGATGGTCAAAAAATAACGATTGGTAACGAACGCTTTCTATGCCCAGAGGCTCTGTTCACACCATCAATGATTGGTCAGCGAGAATCAGGTATAGCTAACATGGTTTATGATACAATTATGAAATGTGATATTGATTTACGAGATCGATTGTATCGTAGGATAGTGTTATCAGGAGGTAAAATAAAATTCAATATTCACATATACAGATGATAAAAATTGATTAATCTGGCAGGAACAACTAGCACTAAAGGTTTGGAGAATCGATTGAAAAAAGAAATAAGGGAACTGGTGCCATCAGAAACTAAAATTCGCATTATTTCTGCATCGGAACAAGACATAGCTGTATGGCTTGGTGGTTCAATTCTTAGTTCATTATCAACATTTCAAAAAATGTGGATCACAAAACAAGAATATAATGATTTTGGTCCGTCGATCATGCATCGAAATTGTTTGTAATTATTAGGGAATTCTTTTGTATTTTGTCACAGATATTTTACATGAAATAAAGTTGTTTGTTATCTTCCCAATACAAAAAGTGCTAAAGGTGTGTATTTGAATTACACATTCTCCTCATTCATTGAGTTTGCCTTTGATCTATAAGTAGAAGACAATGAAACTATTAGAACCATTTACAAAAAAGTATTGAAAATAACAGAGATCAATTGCAACACTGTCTATAGATATTGGTCTTGAAATAGTAAAAATATCAGCATTAAGGAATGCATTCACCTTGCACGAGTCATTCGATATTGAAAGCACGATTTTTACTTTAGCTTTCGTTGTGTCTCATCCAAAATTATTTGCATACTGAGCACGTGAATAAGAATATATTTCGTACTGGGATCGAGTTTTTGAAACAGACGTGAGTTGTGCAAAGATGATACTCTCTATGCTGTGTCCATGGTTCCCGATTACTTTTGGAAGTGAGGGGGGCTAAATTTTGGCAGAAACTATATCTTTTTTGGCAGACAGTCTAAGTCAAAAAGCAAATCCTTGATTCATAATATCATCATCTAACTTAGATGATCTAAGTTCATTTTAATTAAAAATAAGTAAAAACAACATATGTATAAAAAGTAATATTTAAAAACGTTTTTCAAAACTCATCATCTTTCTGTTTCAATTGATCAGATTCAAGAAATAATGTTACATTTTGTTGTATCTGATGTTACTGTACTTAAATTTGACTGTTCTATATTTCTTTTCAACTCATAATATTTGTAATCAATCGCTGTTTGTGACATGGCATGAAATTGCCGACAATGATCTTTCCAGTTTTTTAGAAGCATTGATTTTCCACAAATAGGACACTTTACTGTACAACTAGTTGTATGAACTATTTTTGAAATCATATTTAAAAAAATCTGA